TATTTATTTGAAAGACAAAGAGCACTTGTAATTATTATACTTAACGCAAAAGTGAACATATTACCGATATGCGAGCCACGGATATTAAACTTCGAGCTGGGTTGAAAACAAACCACGGATGGATTTTAGGTGAGGCAGTAAATTTATACAATACAAGAAATGTTATTGAAGAATTATGCAAATTATTCTTTAAAAAACATTTAAAATACTGGTCTTTCTCTAATTTAAAACACACAAATAAATACAAAATTTTCGAAAGAGAAAGTTCTTTTGGAAATAGATTTGTACTTGCAGAATAAAATTGTTGCTCTCGTTAATTTCGTTTGCATGGACACAGTCTTTCACTGCATTCCGTCAGCTTTATCTTTTAGCTTTATAATTTTGTCCATTTCAGCTAACCGTACCATTTTCGTGCAGTTGAGTCGTTTGAATGCGACCGTCAGATTCACAGGGAACCCCAAAAAATTTAAATCAAACGGCCAAACTTCTTTATCTCAGTTTGCAATTCGCTTGAACCGTTATCCCTTGATATCAACAACATCAATGCCATGTCAATGGAGGAAGCAGCCAACAACACAGACATGCTGCACACAGAGCGGCGAAAAGACCATCATCTCTTTGACGAAAGGCCGGTTGATCTTCATAGATGAATACAGTAGTTTGTGGCGCAACCATTGGATATGCCTGGTATGGCTGGCTCGTGTAGACTTCTGTATTCGGCGGAGGGAATTCCCTTTGGAAGGGAATTCCGCTGTCGTTGGCTGGGTAGTAATGTGGCGGTTGAAACGAAGGTTGCTGGTAGTAACTCATTCTTAGTTTTAAGTTTTACTGCCGTGAAAAAATTGCAATACTGTGTTAAAAATTTGTTAGAAGGCTAAATGTTGTTTGATATTCCTTTAGCGCTGCGAACACACGTTCGGTTTGTATTTCAATGCGCGCAGCGCAGCAAAATAATAAAAATATCGAATTGATTTCACTCCATCGACGACTCTACATTTGTTTCCGGTTTTTGGGGAAGCAAAACCAATTCCTTCAAAGGAACTTTTATCTGCAGTTTTAAAGTCTCGCTTGAAAGATTTTTTCCCAGGAACTTGACACGCACGTAATACACCAAGGTGAGTAATATTTTCTGTTTGTGCAGGGAACTCCTTTGCTCAGACCACTAATTTGTGCTGCCTCCAGGGAACGATACTCAGATGAAAGAATTTGATGAATAATATTTTCCCACTCAGGTGAGAAGGCAACCTGCGAACGATCGTGATTGGTTTCGACGGAGAAGACTTGCAGTGGAGCGGTAGAATTCTGCTCGGCGATAACAAACACCGCCTTGGCCTTCAAGCTTTGCCCCTATTCCTCTGTCTTTTCGTTTGGTTGAAAATTTGCCAAGAAAAGGAAGCTTGAGAGACGCCACAAAAACGGGTAACAACAAGATCTATGCATATTTAATGAGCGGTAACACAATGTTAGGTAAATGGCTCGTTATATTATTACTACACCGATGTTTTCTTAATGACATGTTATGGGCTTTTTGATGTCTGGCAAACAAACCATCATTTAAATGACACCAAGTGTTCGCCACAAGAATTTAATTTATTTTCTCTCTTTCTATTGAGCTAAACAAAGAACCAAAATATGAAACCTGTTCTAATAGCGATTCAAGCTTGCCAGAAGATCAAAACCTAAAAACCTGTTGCTATGACATTTTCATCTTCTTTGTTCTGTTCACGGAAAGTAAAAATATGTTGATAAATAATTGAGATAGTGAATATTAGCTGATATCATGGCTAGAACCAGTTAGTGCATTCCTAGTTTCTTTGCATTTCGCGAACATTTTTGTTTTCGTTTGTAAATGGAAAATTTATTCAGATTTCAATTCGTGTCCACCTGCAGCTGGTGGTTGTTGAAAGCAATTTTAAATAGTCGCAAAATACACTTTTCCCCCGAATATTACGAGTTAATACAAACGAAAACAAGTTACCCATAACTGGATCAAACGTTAGTTGATAGTGGAAAATGGACAAACCATATAAATATTGTATCATTTTAATGAGTTTAAATATATAAATTTCACCTTCAATCTTCGCGTGGGACTCCGTGGCGCAATGGTAGCGCGTCTGACTCCAGATCAGAAGGCTGCGTGTTCAAGTCACGTCGGGGTCACTGAAATTTCTTTTTTATTTTTTTTTTTATCGAGAAATACCAGTTTTCATTTGGCCTCACAAAGAATCGTTTTAGAGAATCGTTTTTCACTTCCTTCTCTCTCTTAAGGCTTCATGAAACATAATTTACGCACCAACAAGTAGGCAGGTCGCAAAGAGTTTTTTCCACGGTTTGTGTTTTGGCCCACAACTGTTACGACAAAACCGAAAAGCTCACGGCAAAACCAAAAGCCTTTTGGTTTAGCCGTGAGCTCTTTAGGATTGCCATGAAAGTTGTGGGCCACTGTAGTTTTTCCTCAACAAACATTTCCAAAAATCTAACAAAAACTAGACAAGTCAGGAGCAAATCACGCTTCATTACGCGGCGCTTGAACGAGGTAAGGAGATTATCCACTAAATTAACGAGTTTTTTGCTTATCAGTAATGTAAACGTCTGCTATTTAAACTAAAAGCTTCTCACGCGAGAGTGGATTATTTCCTAGACATCTTGGGTTGATAACACACTCTTGTTTTCAAGCTTAGTATCACGTGCGGTTTTCGACAAGGCATATTAATCTTCCGTGTGTTGCCAATAATACTGAATAGGACTTGGCCAGTATGTCCCGGAGACATCTAACATCATACTATTCTAAAACCAAGACACATTCCCAAACGATCGATTGCTTACGCCATTGTTTTCTTTATCCTGTCTGCGTAGGGAGGTATTGGGCTGTACGGAAATCTTGCCAGCGAGCAGGGGAGGGGAGGGGGTTTAAGGGGACTTATCGTGACCTCTTCAATTTATCAGATGCAAGCTTTCGAGCACACGGATGACGTTTTTGGTTGTTTTAAAATAAAAGTGCAGAAAGATTGAGTGAGTAAGTAAAGAATGATAGTTAGTTTAACAACTAGCAAAATTACTCTTTTATAGTTCTTGAGCTTGGGGAAGTGAGTGGGAAGTCTTGAGATATATGTCTTCTCCCTGTAATTCCAAGGCCTTACGCAGTGATCTCAAATCTTATTTTTCTTTTTTCGTAAACTAGTATGAATTGTTGAAATGCTGTTAGCTGCAGATAAAAGCTATTGGTAGCGTTCCTGTAACTTGACATTTCTTGACATAGAGCATCAAGAGATTTAGGTGATTTGGTGATTGGGATGAGATTTGATTGGGCGAGGCTGTGCAAAACATATCCCATTCCCTTAGTTTGTGTATGCCTTCCCTCCAGGCTCATAAAATGTTTAGACAAATATAAGCTATATCTATACCAGCTGACTGGTATAGATATAGCTTACATTAGAATAGTTGATGATCATGCATCATCAACTTGGCCTTGTTAAACCAAGTTGTCAAATTTTCCCAGTTCACCTTTTTCCATCAGACCTTTTAAATCTTAACCTACCCCCCTCCCCATTCCATAACATTAAACACCAGAATCTCTGTTTTCCCAATTTTCTCTTCTTTTTCATTCTCCCCCACCCCCCTTTCCCTGATGACAAATCTCAGTTGTAGCATAATTGACAATTTTATTCACTTTTCTGCTTAAGGTGGTTCTTAAATAGCACATAGATATTTGCAAGGCAAAACTAAATTTGTTTTCACTATTTTCCTGCCATCCAATCAGGGTTAGGAGGCTAAATTTTAAGTCAATAATTGGTCCTGAAAATTACTACTGGTACTACATTTTTCGCACTAGGAGTGCCTTTGAAATATAGTATATTCAAGTAGCTTTCCTCTATTGATATAGAAAATTTTCCTAATATATTCCTCTAAAAATCACATGGTCATATCAACTCAATGGCTACAGCATGGTTTAATGAGTTTAACAGAACAAAAGCAAAGCAGCTATGAAACCAGGTGTCAAAGGCATATTAATATTAAACCACAAAATTCGGTTTTGAATGCAGGCACCCCTGGTGTTTTTTTAATTTAAGCTAGACACTTTATTTTAGAACAAGCTTCCAAAAGAACTACTATCAAAGATACTAGTTGCTTCTAGAACATTGCGGCCACCTACTATCCTCCTGATTCAGCTTTGAAATCCCTATAAAGTGTTCAGGGGGGACACAAGGGCTTTAACTCCATGGCCTTAAAGCTCCCCACCTCTTCAAGTCCCATACTTGATTGACAAATCTTACTTCTCCTTATAAAAATATCTTTTATCCCACAAACTGATTTGCAATAAAACAAGCACATCAGCTAGAGGGTGTTATCTATCCAGGAAAACACCAAATTTTCTTTGCTACATTACTAGGAGAGGAAATATTGAATCAGGTCTATTGTGTTTGAGGGTAGTATTCCCTATTCAGTAACATTATCTGATGTATACTCATTTTTAAAACTGTATGAAATAAACAATGGCTATTCAAAATCCACATCCAGTAACAACATTTTAATATCCTGGATTTTGAGGTCCAGGCATACTGCCAAAACAGCAGAATGTGTATTATGAGACTGCCATCACTAGACCTCTTTCACAAAAGAGAAAAAATAATACCATGCACATGAGATATAAATATTATATCTCCCATGCTTCCTTAAATTGCAACAGCTCCTACTTAATAATTAATATTTGTCCAGAAGATTTGAATTCACTGAAATGGAATCATTCTCAAGTCTATCCTTGTAATTTAAAGTATTTAATCTCAAGAACTTTTTTGCATATTTCTTTGTGGCAACCAACTAAGAGCTTGGTGCTTCTTCCTTAAGATGCAGATACTGTGAAGATATGAGCACACCTCATTTCTAAGGCTTCTGCACCATAAAATAATCACAGCTTCATTTTTAATACACAAAAGCTCTCAAAGAGAACCAACTGGCCTGACAGTGTTTTGAAGGCTGAGGGAGGGAGTGGGGGAGGGGGGGGAAGGGGAGTAGCATTGCATGTCAGGCCAGCACTTCCTGATTGAGTGATGAGAGACAGAATATCAACTAGAAATTTAAAATAGATTCACTGGCCATTGGAATTATTTGACATATGCTTGTATCCTGACTCATCAGTCCAAAAATGATTACAGCATAATCCTAAAAAGCCATTAGAAAAAGCATCGCAAATTCTATTTATATTATGAAGTACTATGAAGTCGTAGTTACTGTGCTTAGTTTAAAAATATAACGTAACTTAGGGATATAAGAAATTGAATGAAAAAGTTATCGTTTTGAACTTTAGATATCTACTCACAATCCAAACATAACGGCAGAGGAAGAGTTGCTTTGACACTTCACCGAGCTGAACACTTATAGAAAGCTCCATTTTAACCAAACCTGTTACTCTAAACACTTTCATCGAGAGAAATATACAGACGTGACTTTCGTCATTACTCGCTAAGATTTCGAACTTTCCTCGCCTGCCGTGGTAACGTTCATGTTGCAACGAACTAAAGCATTCTAAAGCGCTGAGCGATAGTTGGTTGTGTTATCAATTAGTTATTATTATTATTATTATCATTATTGTTATTAATTATAATAAGTTAGCTGTCTATTTCTTCGTCTTCTTCTACTGCATTTTCTGAAAAAAAGAAAAACGGTTCTTTAAATTTAAAAAAAATTTTGAGTCTTATGAACCGTACAGTTTTGAATTGGTCAAGTGCGTTGTCCCACTCAAACTACCTCTCTATAACAGAGTTAGTAAATTTGTGAGCCCAGAATCAAATGCGCGAGCGTACTTTATACTCTCGTTGTACTCGCTAAATTTTGAGCGAACGCAACGAATTTATTCTTTAACAATATTACCCTAACCTTATAAAAAGTCGTTCAACATCAGCTGTGTGTTACGCGCTTTTTGTCATCTCCAAACTTGGTACAAACTTCATGCAATGATATACGCACACTGACGTATGAATCAGTTGTTAATTTGCGTGCAACTGACTAGTTGTCTAGTTAAGTTTTAGGGGGACTGTCCACTAAAGAGGTTACGGGTTTAGCTGTGTGATCCTTGATTTACAAAAATACTTACCAACATACTTGAAGGAGTCAAACCATTCCTTTTTGTTAAGTTTGTGATCCCCGTCCAAGTCAGACGAAATCATGAACCCAAACAGGCATTCCTCGTGAGGAATATGCGCCATCATAGCATCAACTTCACCTTTATCTAGAAAGCCATCTCCGTTTGAATCGATGTCGTCAAATTGGAACTAGGGGAGGTGCACACATGATTAACATTCTGATAATCGAAGAATGGTTCAGAAAAAATTAAAGCGTTGCATAAATGACATAAATTACTTCAACACTGAGACTACCAAAGGCATATACAGGGTAGTTTTCAACTGAGTCTAAAGCCTAACCCGCCAATGCGTAACACAATGGTCAAAATACATAGAGCGCGAACAATTTACATTCATCTGAACTCGATTCTATTCTTACCGTCAATATTTCTGTTTTCTCTAACGATGTAAATCCAAGCAGCCTTGCCTGGTTGACAAGACCTTCAAGATCAAGGGATGCTGGATCATCACTGTCATAAATTTCTTTATTTATCATTGCCCATTCTAGGAAGCGTTCTGCAAACTGTAGAAGTTCTTCCTCGGTACATTCATTGATTGGAACGAAGGACTCGTCGACCAGTTTTGAGATCTGCTGACCCTTTGCATACGCTGAAAATGGTAAAAATAAAATATGTACCAGGTTTGTACAACTGTAGTTGATTACAGGTAAAACGTATGCAAAGAGTGACAAATAATGTTAACTGCATTGCGCCTAACAGTAAGGTCAACGAGACCTCTCTATTTTGGTTTAGCGGTTGTTGATTCCTTAATTTGTCCCGAGCCGTGTGCTTCACGTCCGGTACAGAAAATAGGATAAACGCTGCTTGTACTTTTGTGCAAATCTCGATTGAGAGTTGGATCGCCAAAATTAAAATTGACATGATAACAACCATACTAAAGAAGAAATAAAACACGAAGCTAATGATTATCTCCTTCAAACAAAAAAGTGCGTGAAGTGCGAGAAAAAGTGAACCACCATGTGAATATCGGTTAACCGTTAGCACCTGCTTTCTTGACCAATCACAGAACGAATTCAGTCAAAATTACTCAATCGGAAAGTAGAATTATACTATTAATGTTGGATTAATCGAATACCTTCACATCGTCCACGGTGCCTCACAGCAACGTTGATCTGCATCCTACAGGCGTGGCGATGAACCTCGCACAGGTTGTGATAATCTTCCAGAAACACAGAGCAGTGGGGATCGGGATCGTCATTGCATTCAGTTGGACAGTAACATTCGGGTGATTTATTTTCGACAATGCGGCACATCTTTCCATCCTCGCACATAGTCCCCTTACATTGCTCTGTTCCGTTATCTGTTTTGTTGCCTTCAAAAGTGATAAACACATTTGGGGATTACGAAGTAGGTTTTCATTCTTTAGAAGTTTTTGCGTGGAGATTTAAGCATGATATGATAGAACATGACCTTTGGCTACCATTGCTTATAACATTGAGGTATATCATATACCTTTCTTAACCCCTCTAAGAGATTATCAAGTCTTACCCTTGCTAAACTAATTATACACAAATATAATACTTACCACCCTGTTCGCCTCTGCCGATTACAGCTGTGCCATTACCATTCTCAATACCATTTCCATTCTCAGCTCCATGACTGTCTGTGATATCCACAGTTGGCTTTGGCGAAGTAACACTTTTTGTGGTGCTGACAGTGGTTGGTGAAGCTGTTGTTTTTTCCTCAGTTGGTGTAGCTGTTGTTTCTTCCTTAGTTGGTGCAGCCGTTGTTTCTTCCGCAGTTGGTGTAGCTGTCGTTTCTTCCTCAGTTGCTGCAGCCGTGGTTTGTTCCTTAGTTGGTGCAGCTGTTGTTTCCTCCTTAGTTGGTGCCGTCGTTGTTTCTTTTTTAGTTGGTGAGGCTGTTGTTTGGTCTTCAGTTGGTGCAGCCGTTGTTTCTTCCTCTGTTACTACAGGTGTTGTTTGTTCCTCAGTTGGTGCAGCCGTCGTTTCTTCCTCAGTTGCTGCAGCCGTGGTTTCTTCCTTAGTCGGTGCAGCTGTTGTTTCCTCCTTAGTTGGTGCCGTCGTTGTTTCTTTTTCAGTCGGTGAAGCTGTTGTTTGGTCTTCAGTTGGTGCAGCCGTTATTTCCTCCTCTGTTGGTGCAGCTGTTGTTTGTTCCTCACTTGGTGCAACTGTTGTTTCCTCCTCAGTTGGTGCAGCCGTTGTATCTTCCTCAGTCGGTGTAGCTGTTGTTTCCTCCTTAGTTGGTGCCGTTGTTGTTTCTTTTTCAGCCGGTGAAGCTGTTGTTTGGTCTTCAGTTGGTGCAGCCGTTGTTTCCTCCTCTGTTGGTGCAGCTGTTGTTTGTTCCTCACTTGGTGCAACTGTTGTTTCCTCCTCAGTTGGTGCGGCAGTTGTATCTTCTTCGGTCGGTGTAGCTGTCCTTTCTTCCTCAGTTGCTGCAGCCGTGGTTTCTTCCTTAGTCGGTGCAGCTGTTGTTTCTTCCTTAGTTGGTGCCGTCGTTGTTTCTTTTTCAGTCGGTGAAGCTGTTGTTTGGTCTTTAGTTGGTGCAGCCGTTGTTTCCTCCTCTGTTGGTGCAGCTGTTGTATGTACTTCACTTGGTGCAACTGTTGTTTCCTCCTCAATCGGTGCGGCCGTTGTATCTTCCTCAGTTGGTGCAGCTGTCGTTTCCTCCTCAGTTGGTGCAATTGGTGTTTCCTTCTCAGTTGGTGCAGCCGTGGTTTCCTCCTCTGTTGGTGCAGCCGATGTATCTTCCTCAGTTGGTGCAGCTGTCGTTTGCTCAGTTGGTAAAGCTGTTGTTTGGCCCTCGGTTGGTGCAGCTGTTGTTTCTTCCTCAGTTGGTGCAACGGTTGTTTTTTCTTCTGTTTCTGCCTTTGTTGTTTGTTTTTCAGTTGGTGAGACTGTTGTTTCTTCCTCAGTTGGTGCCGCTGTTGATTCTTTATCAGTTGGTGAAGCTGTTGTTTGGTCTTCAGTTGTTGCAGCTGTTGTTACTTCCTCAATTGCTGCCGCCGTTGTTTGTTTTTCAGTCGGTGAAACTGTTGTTTCCTCCTCAATTGGTGCGGCCGTTGTATCTTCCTCAGTTGGTGCAGCTGTCGTTTGCTCCTCAGTTGGTGCAATTGGTGTTTCCTTCTCAGTTGGTGCAGCCGTGGTTTCCTCCTCTGTTGGTGCAGCCGATGTATCTTCCTCAGTTGGTGCAGCTGTCGTTTGCTCAGTTGGTAAAGCTGTTGTTTGGTCCTCGGTTGGTGCAGCTGTTGTTTCTTCCTCAGTTGGTGCAACGGTTGTTTTTTCTTCTGTTTCTGCCTTTGTTGTTTGTTTTTCAGTTGGTGAGACTGTTGTTTCTTCCTCAGTTGGTGCCGCTGTTGATTCTTTATCAGTTGGTGAAGCTGTTGTTTGGTCTTCAGTTGTTGCAGCTGTTGTTACTTCCTCAATTGCTGCCGCCGTTGTTTGTTTTTCAGTCGGTGAAACTGTTGTTTCTTCCATAGTTGGTGCTGCAGTTGTTTTTTCGTCAGTTGGTGCAAGTGTTGTTTGTTCCTTAGTTGGTGCCGCCGTTGTTTCTCTTTCAGTTGGTGAAGCAGTAGTTTGGTCTTCAGTTGGTGCAGCTGTTGTTTCTTCCTCACTTGATGCCGCCGTTGTTCCTTCTTCAGTTGGTGCAGGCGTTGTTTGTTCCTCAGTTGGTGCAACTGTTGTAATTTCTTCAGTTGGTTCCGCCGTTGTTTCTTTTTCAGTTGTTGCAGCTGTTGTTTCTTCCTCAGTTGGTGCGACTGTTGTTATTTCTTTAGTTGGTGTCGCCGTTGTTTCTTTTTCAGTTGGCGCAACTGTTGTTTCTTCCTCAGTTGGTGCAACTGATGTCATTTCTTCAGTTGGTTCCACCGTTTCTTTTTCAGTTAGTGCAACTGTTGTTTCTTTTTCAGTTGGTGAGACTGTTGTTTGGTCTTCAGTTGGTGTAGCTGTTGTTTCCTCCTCACTTGGTGCAGCTGTTGTTTCTTCCTCAGTTGGGGCAACTGTTGTTATATCTTCAGTTGCTGCCGCCGTTGTTTGTCTTTCAGTCGGTGCAACTGTTGTTTCTCCCTCAGTTGGTACAGCTGTTGTTTGTTCCCTAGTTGGTGTTGTTGTTGTTTCTTTTTCTGTTGGTGCAAGTGTTGTTTGTTCCTCGGTTGGTGCTGCTGTTGTTTCTTTTGCAGATGGTGAAGCTGTTGTTTGTTCTTTAGTTGGTACAGCTTTTATTTCCTCCTCAGTTGGTGTAGCCGTTGTACCTTCTTTTGTTGGTCCCGCCGTTGTACCTTCTTCAATTGGTGCTAGCGTTGTTTGTTCCTCAGTTGGTGCAATTGTTGTTTCCTCCCCAGTCGGTGCCGCCGTTGTTCCTTCTTCAGTTGGTTCCGCCGTTGTTTCTTTTTCAGTTGGTGAAGCTGTTGTTTGGTCTTCAGTTGGTGCGGCTGTTGTTTCCTCCTCACTTGGTGCAGCTGTTGTTATTTCTTGTGTTAGTGCCGCCGTTGTTTCTTTTTCAGTTGGTGAAGCCGTCGTTTGGTCTTCAGTTGGTTCTAATGTTGTTTGTTTTTCAGTTGGTGCAGCCGTTGTTAGTTTCTCAGTTATTGCGGTTTTTGTCATTTCCTCAGTTGATACGGCCGTTGTTACTTTTTGAGAAGGTGCGGGTGTTGTTAGTTCTTCAGTTGGTGCAGGTGTTGTTTCTTCCTCGGTTGGTGCAGCTGTTGTTTGTTCGTCAGTCATAGTAACTGTTGTTTGTTCCTCAGTTAGTGCAGCTGTTGTTTTTTCCTCAGTTGATGCAGCCGTTGTTATTTCTTCGGTTGGTGCAGCTGTTGTTTCTGCCATGGTTGGTGCAGTCGTTGTTTGTTTCTTAGTTGGTGCAGCTTCAGTTGTCTCCGCAACACGTTCAGCTGTTGTTACCTTCTCAGTTACACCTACTGTTGTTGTTCCCTCAGCTGGCACAGTTGTTTTTCTTTCCTTGGTAGGTGCAGCTGTTGTTGCTTCCTCAGTTGTTGTAGCCGTTGTTTCTTTCTCAGTAGGTCCAACTGTCGTTATTTCCTTAATAAGTTCACCCGTTGTTGCTTCCTCAGTTGCCGAAGGCGTTTTTGCTTCCTCAGTAGGGGAAGGTGTGCTTGTCTCCATCACAGGTTCAGCTGTTATTTCCTCAGTTGCCACAGCACTTGTCATTCCCTGAGTTGGTGCTCTTGTTGATTCTTTCTCAGTAGGTGCAGCCGTTGTTATTTCCCCAGTAGTTACAACTGTTGTTCTTTCCTTGGTAGATGCTACTGTTGTTTTCTCCTCAATAGGTGCAACTGTTGTTACTCTCTCAGGAGGTCCTGCTGTTATTACTTCCTCGGTTGATGCAACTGTAGTTACTCCCTTAGTAGGTGTTTCTGTTATTGCACCTCCAGTAGCTTTGACTGAGGTTGTTTCATCAATAGGTGCAGCTGTTATTACTTTCTGAGTGGTTGCAGCTGCTTTTTTCGTTACCTCTGTGGTTTCTTGCACTAAAGTACTTGGCTTGGCTGTCGAAGCCAGTTCCTGGCCTGATACATCGGGAGGAGGAACAGTTATAACGGCCAATATTGCTCCTGTAGTTTGGATAGCTGATGTTGATGCAATACGTGTTGCCTTGCTAGTAGTTCTAATTGTTATTGCTTCATCATCAGTTGCTACTTTATCTGTAGGTGGAGCTGTCGTTGCTTTCCTTGTTGAGGCAGCAATTGTTTGTTCTTTGCTTGCTGTAGTCTTTTTGATCTCCTTACTTGGTGCAGGAGTTGTTTGCTTTACGGTAGATGTAGTTGTTGTTTGTTCTTCAGTAAATGCAGCCGTTGTTGCTTTTTCAGTAGTTTTAAATACAGCTGTTGTTATGTCGTCAGCTGTAGTCTCTTTGTCAGTAGGAGCACCTGTTGTTTGTTCTTCATCAGTAGATGATGTTGTTACCCGTTCAGTTGGTGAAAATGTGGATGCTTCCTCAAATGGTGTAGCTGTGGTTACTTCCTCAGTTGGTACAGCTTTTGTTGCTTCCTCAGTTGCTTCAGGTGTTGTTTCTTCCTCAGTTGAGGCAGCCGTTGTTTCTTTCAGAGTTGGTGCAGCACTTGTTTCTTTCCCGTTTTGTGCAGACGTTGTTTTGTCCTCAGTTGGTGCAGCTGTTGTTTTTCCTTCAGTTGAGGGAACTGTTGTTTCTTCCTCAGTTGGTGCAGCTGTTGTTGCTTCCTCAGGTGGGGCAGCAGTTGTTTCTTCCTCTGTTGCAGCAGCTGTTGCTTTCTCAGATGGGGCAGCAGTTGTTTCTTCTTCCGTCGGTGCAGCCGTTCTTTCCTCCTCTGTTGGTGCAGGTGTTGATGCTTCCTCAGTTGGTGCAGCCGTTGTTTCTTCCTTTGTTGGTGCAGCTGTTGTTGCTTCCTCAGTTGGTGCAGCGCTTGTTTTTTTCTCTTTTTGGGCAGCTGTCGTTTCCTCCTCATTTGCTGCAGCTGTTGTTGGCTCCTCAGATAGAGCAGGGGTTGTTTCTTCCTCAGTTGGTGCAGCTGTTGTTTCCTCCTCTATTGGTGCAGCTGTTGTTGCTTCCTCAGTTGGTGCAATGCTTGTTTTTTTCTCTTTTTGGCCAGCTGTCGTTTCTTCCTCCGTTGGTACAGCTGTTGATGGGGTCTTAAATGAAGCAGCAGTTGTTTCTTCCTCGGTTGGTGCAGCTGTTGTTTCTTCCTCTGTTGGTGAAGCTGTTGATGCTTTCGCAGTTGGTGCAGTTGTTGTTTCCTCCTCTGTTGGTGCAGCTGTTGCTTTCTCAGATGGGGCGGCAGTTGTTTTTTCCTCAGTTGGTGCAGCCGTTGTTTCCTCCTCTGTTGGTGCAGCTGTTGATGCTTCCTCAGTTGGTTCAGCTGTTGTTTCCTCCTCTGTTGGTGCAGCTGTTGATGCTTCCTCAGCTGATGCAGCCGTTGTTTCTTCCTCTATTGGTGCAGCTGTTGCTTTCCCAGATGGGGCAGCAGTTGTTTCTTCCTCAGTTGGTGCAGCTGTTGTTTCTTCCTCTGTTGGTGCAGCTGTTGATGCTTTCGCAGTTTGTGCAGCCGTTGTTTCCTCCTCCGTTGGTGCAGCTGTTACTTTCCCAGATGGGGCAGCAGTTGTTTCTTCCTCAGTTGATGCAGCCGTTGTATCCTCCTCTGTTGGTGCAGCTGTTGATGCTTCCTCAGTTGGTGCAGCCGTTGTTTCCTCCTCTGTTAGTGCAGCTGTTGATGCTTCCCCAGTTGGTGCAGCCGTTGTTTCCTCCTCTGTTGGTGCAGCTGTTACTTTCCCAGATGGGGCAGCAGTTATTTCTTCCTCAGTTGGTGCAGCTGTTGTTTCTACCTCTGTTGGTGCAGCTGTTGATGCTTCCTCAGTTGGTGCAGCCGTTGTTTTCTCCTCTGTTGGTGCAGCTGTTACTTTCACAGATGGGGCAGCAGTTGTTTTTTCCTCTTTTCGTGCAGCTGTTGTTTCCTCCTCTGTTGGTACAGCTGTTGATGCTTCCTCAGTTGGTGTAGTCGTTGTTTCCTCCTCTGTTGGTGCAGCTGTTGCCTTCCCAGATGGGGCAGCAGTTGTTTCTTCCTCAGTTGGTGCAGACGTTGTTTTCTCCTCTGTTGGTGCAGCTGTTGCCTTCCCAGATGGGGCAGCAGTTGTTTCTTCTTCAGTTGGTACAGACGTTGTTTCTACTTCTGTTGGTGCAGCTGTTGTTGCTCCCTCGGTTGGTGCAGTGCTTGATTTTTCCTCTTTTTGTGCAGCTGTTGTTTCTTCTTCTATTGGTGCAGCTGTTGTTGGCTCCTCAGATGGAGCAGCGGTTGTTTCTTCCTCAGTTGGAGTAGATGTTGTTTCCTCCTCTGTTGGTGCAGCCGTTGATGCTTCTTCAGTTGTTGTAGCAGTTGATTCCTCCTCTGTTGGTGCAGCTGTTGCTTTTTCAGATGGGGCAGCGGTTGTTTCTTCCTCAGTTGGTACAGTCATTGTTTCCTTCTCTATTGGTGCAGCTGTTGTTTGTTCCTCTTCTGGTGCAGCTGTTATTGCTTTTTCAGATGGGGCAGTTGTTGTCTCTACCCCTTTTGGTGCAGCTGTTGTTTCTTTCACAGTTAAAGTAGCTGTTGTCACTTCTTCACTTAGAGGAAATGTTACCGTCTCGGTAGGTGAAGATGTGGTCACGTCCTCAGTAGTAGCAGCAGTGGTTTTTTCCTCAGTTGATGTAGCCGTTGTTTTTTCCTCAGTTGGTGCAGCGCTTGTTTCTTCCTCAGTAGGGGCAGCTGTTACTTCGTCCCCATTTGGTGTAGCTGTCGTTATTTCTTCAGTTGGGGCAGCCGTTGTTTCTTCCTCAGTTGGTGCAGCGCTTGTTTTTTTCTCTTTTGGGGTAGGTTTTGTTTCTTCCTCAATTGGTGCAGCAGTTGTTTTTTTCTCAGATGGGGAAGCGGTTGTTTCTTCCTCAGTTGCTGCGAGCGTTGTTTCCTCCTTTGTTGGTGCAGCAGTTGTTGCTTCCTCAGTGGGTGCTGCACTTGGTTTTTTTGCCTTTGAGGTAGCTGTTGTTTCTTCCTCAGTTGGTGCATCTGTTTTTGCTTCCTCAGAGATGGCAGCCGTTGTTTCTTCCTCAGTTGGTGCAGCTGTTGTTTCCTCCTCTGTTGGTGCAGCTGTTGTTGCTTCCTCTGTTGGTGCAGCTGTAACTGCTTCCTCAGTTGGTGCAGCTGTTGTCTTCTCTTCTGTCGATGCAGCTGTTTTTTTCTCAGATGGGGCAGCGGTTGTCTTTATCTCTTTTGGTGTAGCTGTTGTATCGTCCTCAGTTGGTGCAGCTGTTGTTTCTTCCTCGGTTAAAGTGGCTGTTGTCACTTTTTCACTAGGTGGAGATGTAACTTCCTCAGTAGGTAGAAATGTTGTCACTTCTTCAGTAGCTGCAGCCGTTGCTTTTTCCTCAGCTGGTGCTGCAGTTGTTTTTTCCTCAATTGGTATTGCTGTTGTTTTTTCCTCAATTGGTGCTAGTGTTGTTACTTCTTCAGTAGGTAGAAATGTCCTTACCTCCTTTGATGGTGCAGCTGTTATTGCCTCTTCAGTAGGTGTAGCTGTCGTTTCTTCCTTATTGGGAGCAGCCTTTGTTGCTTCGCTAATGAGTGCCGGGGTTGCTTCTTCCTCCGTTGATGCAGCGTTTGTTTCTTCTTCAGTTGGTGCAGCTGTTGTTTCTTCTTTAGTTGGTGCAGGCTTTGTTGCTCCCTCAGTTGTTGCAGCTGTTGTTTCCCTCTCAGTTGGCGTAGTGTTTGTTTTATCCACAGAAGCTGGAGCTGTTGTTTCTTTCTCATTTGGTGCAGCCGTTGTATGTTCCTCAGTTGGTAAAGTTGCTGTTCCTTCCATGGTTGGTGCAGCCGTTGTTTCTTCCTCTGTCGGTACAGCCGTTGTTTCTTTCTCAGTTGGTGCGGTTGTTTTTTCTTTCTTTGTTGATGCGGCTATTGATGTTTCTTCAGTAGGTGTGGGTGTGGCTTTTTCCTCAGTTGGTGCGGCGGTTATTTCCTCCTCAGTTGGTGCAGCAGTTGTCACCTCCTTAGTTGATACAGTTGTTGTTTCTTCTTTTGGTGCAGCGGTTATTTTTTCCTCAGTTGGTGCTGCGCTTGTTTTTTCCCCTGTTAGTGCATCGGTTGTTTCTTCTTCGCTTGGTGCAGCTGTTTTTTCTTCCTCAATTGGTGCAGCTGTTGTTTTTTCTTCAAGGGGCACAGTTGTTGTTTTTTCCGTGGTTGATACAGCCGTAGGTTGGGCTGTTGTTACTCTCTGAGTTGGTGCATCTGTTGTTTCTTCTTCGGTAGGCTCATCTGTATTTACCTTTTGAGTTGGTGCAGCTGTCGTTTTGTCTTCATCAATCGCAGTTGTTGTTTCTTGTACAGTAGATGCTATCGTTTTTTCTTCCTCAGTTAGAGCAGCTTTTTTTTGTTCTTCAGTTGGTGTAACTGTCGTTCGTTCTTCACTTGGTGGAGATGTTACTTGCTCTTCAGTAGGTTCAACTGTTGTTTTTTTTTCAGTAGCTGCTGTTGCCTCCTCAGAAGGTGCAGCTGTTGTTTTTTCTTCAGTAGGTGCAGTTTTGATATCTTCTGTTGGTGCAGTGGTTGTTGCCTTAGTTGGTGCAGTTGTTGTTTCTTCTTCAGAAGGCGTGGCCGTTGTAACTTCTTGAGAAGCTGGTACTGTTATTTTCTCTTCTGTTTTTGCAGCTGTAGGCACTTTTTCAGTTGTTTCTTCTCTTTGTTCTTCAGTTGGTGCAGCTGTTGTTATTACCTCTGGTGGTGGAGCTGTTGTTTCTCCCTCAGTTGGTGTAGCCGTTCTTTGTTCCTCAGTTGGTGCAGCTGTGAGTACCTCGTCAGTTGGCGCAACTGTTTTTTTTCCTTCAGTCGGTGCAGCTTTTGTTTCCTCCTCTGTTAGTGCACCGGTGGTAACTTTTACCGTTGGTGCCGCTGTTATTTTTACAACTTTTGTTTGTTTCTCAGTGGGCACAGCTGTCGTCCTCCCTTCAGTAGGTCCAGCTGTTGTTTGTCCTTCAGTTGTGGTGTGCTTAACGTCTGTGAAGTCTATTGAAGGCTCGGTTGATTCTGCTCCATTTCCCACGATGTCAATAATGTCATCTGTGGCTAGGCTAACTTCTGTTTTTCCTTTTTGTGAGTTTGGTTTGGTTGTTTGAACCACTGGGGGAATTGCTGTTCTTTCCTTTTTAGTAGAGGGTTTTCTTATAGGAGCAGTAGTTGGTTCAACATCTATGATATCTATTATGTCGCCTGTGCCGGGCTCAGAGGGATCTTCACCATTTTCCAAGCTGTCGCTTATGTCATCGGTAACTTTCTGCGCTTGCTTAGGAGGCGGGGTTTCGCTAGCTATCACCGTGGCTATTGGTGTGGGAAGAAGTGGAGTTTTACTTTCAGAGTTGTTTACTGGTGCAGAAGTTATGACTTCAATGCCTACACCACTTGAATCGTCTTGAATGGGAGAGTAACCAACTAACATTCCCTCTGCAAAAGACAATTGAAGAAGGAGTAAGTTAAGTGATCTCTGCCACATATGAACCGACTGATGTCTTAAGTTACCCTAGAGTCTCCGAGGTTCTGAATTAAAATATCGAAGCGCAAAAAATGAGGGTCTGAGGTTCCAATCGTTTCTATGCAGTATGCGGAACGCGTGTTACAGTAATGCCCGGTTTCCCAGAGAGTCTCTGTGGCTCAGTTACAGAAAGTCGCAGCGAGAAATTCGCAGGTCTGAGGTTTGGTTTTCAGGGGTTTCGAAGCATCTCTTTGTCGAACCCTTGTGACGAGACGAAAAGACGGGAAACTTTGGGGAGCGCCCTCATCCTCACATTTGTCAACATGTGGGAGTTCAGTTAATATCCTTTACAAAAAGCAAGCATTACTCAGAGTATTTTGCTGTTTACGCAGCTAATACTGGAAAAAATTTTCCCTTTAATACAGATGAATAACAAAGTACGGAAATGTGTGCACATCAAGAATTTCCTATGCTGCGAAGGAACAACGCAGTTGATTGGGCCAGAACTGTCTTGAGCGTAATAAATGAGTCGCAAGGTATCAAGGCCTTGTTACAATTTATCCCCCTCAGTCCCCACCCCTCCACCACCCACTTCCTCCCCCCCCCCTTCCCTGCCTTTGAAATACACCAGGTTATAAAAAACTCTAAATAAAGCTAATAAAAACAATTGTTACAATAGAGGGTGACAACAAGATCAATTCTGACACGTTACTTCTTTTCTTACCGTTGTAAACAGGCTCTAGCTCCGGTTGATTTAGCAGATCGTCATCTGCGATGAATTCTGGATTTCTTGGAAATGCCCTTTCCTCCTGCAATGGTAGTGATTTTATACAAACTTTCGTAAATAGGTCAGTGGAACAAATCCATTTAACCTTTTAACTCCCAAAAGTTATCAACATGAAACTTCTCCCTATAATTAGCCATACATTATTCAGCAAACAGATAATGAGAACACTCCAACCTGTCAGGTAGAAGTTGTTAGCTTGATCTAACAACAAACTCCTGTAACTAATATACAAGGAAATGTATGGCAACCAGAGATCGTGGGAGTTAAATGTTTAATTAGTTAGCTTTAGTATTTGTCTCTCTAAGAAGGGCTGTCTTTTAATTTAAGTACGTTGCTAAGATTTTTGTAATAAGAACCTTTTTTTTGTTACAGTTGAAGAGAGCTGGGAAACGAGTTTTCAAGAACCGAGTTATTCTGTGCATTAGCTGCTCTTAAATAGCGTTTTCAAAAATGCGTTTGATTTACATAGGTGATTAATATCTGTAATTTAAAAAGAAGATCACTTGTCCGCATGTGGATACGAATTTATTTTCTCGTGTAGATAATATCTGTAATTCGTATCGAACAACGAAGACAAAATTTCGTATTTAAGCGCGGCCACACAGAATCTAGCAATCTCACTAATGTATATTGCTAAATTTAGGCCCTAACAGGCACATACACAAGCACACGGTGTGCTTGTGTATGTGCCTGTTATTCGTAAGCCGTCAGAAAAGTTTAAAAAAGAAAACCGGCCATTGTGAATTAGATAAAACAAAGACCTCTCCATTTCGGACACTTAGCTATGTCCCTACTGTGTCTGTATTGGAGAGGTTCGACCTTACTGCAAACAAAACTGGTCAACCACACATGTAAAGGAGAACTCGCTTGCATAGAAATTCGCTTTAAATTGTTTCTTCTAAATAAGAACATCTTGTCCTTAAAAACTTGAGCTTTTTCTTCGAGGCTGTAACTTAACAGGCCCGTTACCATTTTTTCAAAATCTACATCCAAGGAACAAGGAATACCAGTGCTCGACTTCGCCCAAAAAACAAATATGTTCTGTTTCATATCCTGTTATCATCACTGTTTGTGTGTCAAAGTTAACGATATTTCGATCTTTAATATAAACATGGCCAGCAAACATTAATTTTCGGAACTGGACTTTCGCAATTCCGAGAAATCGGCCCCAAAGGACATTTCATATTATTCCATGGGTATTTTCCAGAAAACCATCCTTCAGTGAGAGGTGCTAAGAAAAAAATCCTAGGCGATTCCTCGTGTTACCTAAATGTCCGTTTTGAGGAGTTTTTCACGCATGGTTCACGACAGAAAAAGCCGTACTTCCTTGAAGCGTGAGGAAACGTTGTCGTTGAAATCTGTGAGAGGTCTGGGTCCCATCCAGATCCTAAAGATCGCCGTTCGCGCTCCTGTGGCACCTAATGTACTTTCTCTCTCCCTACCCCCAGTGTGGCGGCCACAAAAGCCACATCCAGGGGGAATTGGGCAAGCGCCGGAGTACAGATCAGAAAATGAAGATACGGGATTTTACGAAAACGCTTGAAATACCAATTTGCATCTCACAGATAACAATGGATCATATTCAAGTAAGGCCTCTATCTTTTAAGAACGGGATTAACGTTCTGGAATCACGCATCTGAACTAACACACAACACTTTCGTAGGATAGCACCAGCATTAAAATCCGTCCTCTACGACAACTTTCAGAATTTATCCCAGTAGTTATATTGCGGCTTACTACAACAAAACCAAGGCAATTTTTTTCCGTGCCACGTACAGTTTTCAATTCCGTTGCCCACAGACATGTTTCATCAGTGTGAATGAAATGCAGTCGTCAAATGATAACAGTCGTTACAAATCCGTTAATTAAGGCAAACCTAAAGTGGTATTTACACTTTACTGTTGACATAAATATTATAAATACATTTCGCTCTGCATAAATGACGAGAAAATGCTTTCATGCCAAACCAAACAGTCTGCAATCGATCAGAGTTTCGACTATCGCAAGCTGCGTGTGAACAAGTTTAAGGAATAACTCACAATCAGCTTTGAACATTTTTAACCAAAATCTGTTTTAGAGATTTCCCTAGGTGGTCGATTGTTTTAACAAAGAAAGTCAGATTTAATGGGTGCAGTTATTCTCGCGACATAGAAGTATGCAGACATCCTGTTTCCTAAAATAAATAACTCATTACAAGGAGCTTGCTTAATAAACAAAACCTTGCGGAACGTTTAGAAATGTTTTCTTTTCTCAAAAGGCTTGACATTCCGGAAAGAACTCCGACACTCTCGCTGGCCTGTTCTTCAAAAACGATAGTTTTCATTAGTTTGCAGCAAACGTTTCCTGTTTCTCAAACCAGACTGCTTTTTAATGCTTTTTAGGCTTTTCCCCTTTGATCTCTGAGGAATCGACTTTAATCATATTCCTGCGATGTGGAACATTTGAGGGTATTTAAACGTAACCTTCCAAGAAACCTACTTAAATGTTCATAATGCGATCGTATGAAGCAGAAATGGGAAAAATTATGGCGTCTGAATTTCAACGACTCCTTAAGGCCCGGCCTGGAAATATTCTGTTGTCGGCTCACATCTGTGGAGGGTTTAAGCTTAAGCGGAGCTTTTGATGGTTGGTTTTTCGTAATGTTTGGAGTTGGAAAACCACTTTTTCCACTTGAGAAACACATACACCGGAAAGTATCCCCCAGGACGAGCGATGGTTTTCCTTTATGGCTGTTTGTACTTCATCAAATCCATTTTCCTTGGGCTTAAATGTCTAGGATCTTATTACGTCAGTGCTTTGTCCAAGAATGAATGTGCAATAAAATCACACTACTCCAGCTGAGTTGTGAAGTAGGCGTTTTTCCTCTAAAGACAGTTTTGGCCCCACCAAACAAAGCAATTTCCGGTGCGAGAATGCTTAGTTATGGAAAATCGAGATCCGAGCAAAGGTGGTTATTCTCCATGTTGCAAACAGATAAGGGAAGCGAGTACAGTCTGCAGTCTTTTGGTTTTGGAAGTTGCATGATAACTACTTTTTAAAAGTTCTGGTGTGAAAATCATGACAGTGAACCTTCTCTCAACAACACGCACGTGTGACATACTTGCACAAAATACATGTGTGTCGTTGTAACTCGTTAGTTCAAATCCAAATCAATTTACAGGTCAAAGACAACAAGTTTAGAAATTTCATCTGGAAGCAAGTCGAACCATCGACGTTCAAACGTTTCGGGAATTTTTTAACTTTTTTTTTTGCCTCAAAGAACATGCCGGCGTCTTTGACCTCGATAAAGTCTGGAACGTCATTACGAAAACACTCTATCGGAAAGCTACCGATGCAATACCCTTCAAATGTAAACAAAACGCGTTATTGCTCGTGTTTGTTTTACACAGATTATGTACCGCTGTCAGCCTCTATATTAAGAACATAAGTTACTTTCCGTTACTTTGAATTCGAAATATTTCAGCCTTGTGTGGATTAAATGCTCGTCGCGCGACAGGGACAGACGATCACAACACCTGCATGTCACGACGTCTCAAATGTCCCTAGGAATTCATTAGCTTTTACCCGGAGCAATGAAATTCGGAAACTTTACTGATATGACAACCTGCTTTTCAACTGGAGTTTCCCCATTTAAATGGTGTCCACTAAACCAGTCGAATTGGCGGAGAGGTATTTTGTGACTGCGCCAAGCGGGATTAAAGCTGTTTAAATTCAAGCAGCGTTTTCATCTCGATCGCTGTATATCTATAACAGAAATCTATGAGCCTCTATAGATTATTAAGACAGCTAATAAAAAAGACATCGCTGGTTTCATTTAAGAGCCCCGCACAGATGTGACATAAACCCTTTTAAAGCCTTATTTCATGAAAATTACGAATCTCACGGACTTGATTTCCATCATCTCTCAAAAATTTCATAACGCGCGTGTGGCATTGACATAGCAGGCGTTGAAATGTGATGGAAAAAAAAATGTTTAGAAACTCACCGTATCCGTAGCTAGTAACAGCAAGGCAACTCCCCATAAAAGTCTTCTGTATGGTAAAGGATTGTTAGCCATGATGATGTCGAACACTAGAGGCCGGTGACCTTCAAACTCGAACTACTGGTAATCGATGGCTGTTGTTAAATTCTCACTGTGTACTAACGGCGATATTCCTGCAGAGAATCACAGATGTTAGGCAAGTTTGCCGCAAACGACGCCAACGCACACTTTGCACAGCGGAAATTGTCGCGGGTTACGCCTGAATGTTTATAGCGCCACATCGTATTTGTTTAGCGGGGTGCAATTCCCTTGAAGTGAAAAGCCTGATTGTGTTTCGCTCACCCGATGTGTTGTTATGCTAACAAGCTAAACTGTATCCGATACTCGTTTCCCCCGAATTTTTCGCATGACAACGGCTGAAAAGGCCGGTGAAATGATCAAATCAAGTTCAGTGCTTGAGAGAAGTTTAGAACGAGTGCAACTCAACAGAATCCCAAGATTTTAAAGCTGATATCTACCGAGAGAGGATCTTTTGTTGATAAAAGGACAACGCGTGATAAAGAAAACTGACGTGAGGTCAAGAGAAACTCGGTGTGACTGTCGTACAGTAGCCATTTCCGATTTCCTGAGCTGACACATGGATAAAAACTGGAGATACGCCGACAAAAGACCCGGGTTGCAGTACAAAGTCAAGGATTTAAAAGCAAGTTATACTGAGAAAAATTACCAAAGTGGTCGCGCTTAACCTGTTTGATAAACACAACATACAACGTAAGAAATATAATATGTAACTCCGCACCGCAAAACTTCAGAGTTTCACAAAATTTCACATTACTTCACATCCCGGGCGTTTGGTAAAAGCACTTTCATTGTTACTTACCGAAAATAAACTAAAAAAGTCGAGTACCCTTTGTTTTGGTTTTTACGTTTCTCAAGTGAATTATCTCAAGTTCTTATGTTGAAAAGCCCTCGGGTTAGAATTGTTCTCCATCGTCCTCAACCCCGAACCGAGATACCGCGATAAAACTAGTCTATGAATAATATGGCTGCTTTAATCCAATTAATCACCGTGTCGCATGGCGCCGATAGGTTTCCTATAACCACAGAACTAATCTGTTTTCCGTGATAACTTTCACAACATTCCTGAATTGGGAAACATTCCGAATGTGGGCGTTGAAGGCTTGATAGATTGGACCGTGAATGCCCTCTGCTTTCAGTTATACTTTTTTTAGCTCTTACCGACTAGTGACAAGTTTCAAGAAAAACGCTGGAAGATCATCACTGAATCCTTAACGAGTATTGATAGACTTCCCTATTAATCTGTTCTGTGTTTATATAGTGCGATATGACGCTTGTGTAATCAGAGAAATTTCGTCGCGGTACATATTCAAGAAGACTTCTTGTGTGGCAAAAATCTTTTTAAGACGCGGGATTTACGGGTCAACTTTGGAACCAAAATCGTCCAGTGAAGGACCTTGAGTTCCCTGATGCTGCACTTTGGTGAACAGTGCGCGATTTTTTTAGGTATTACTGTCAGAAGTGCAGACATCATCTCTCCTCACAAAGGAATGTTCGTTAAGATTAGATTAGGCAAAGTTATCAGACATACTTTTTCAGGGTCACCCTTGTCGATTTTGGGGTGAAACCACTTATCCAAGTATTAAATGAAGATTCTTCGACCTGTTTAAGCGCCTTTTGTGCGAATCATGGACTTAAGGTGAGGTGTCTGATAATGATGGTTGTTGTTCTTAGCAGTTTGTAAAATTCATTGTCTTAGCGAGCAGGCACAGTTTTAAGTCCTTTTATAGAAAGGCCCAGTAACATTTGTTGAGTTTCATCCAAGTGCCAACTTCGTTATCTGTCACGATATACTGCTGTTATTTCAAACCACTGGTCTCATTCTGGAATTCTCTCGCGCAAAATCACGATCAGCCGATAAGACATCAATATTGCCTCGAATTTGGATGGAAAAACTTCAATATGGCACAAAACAGCTGAGACCAACATCCTAATAGCTTGTGAGTAATTGCCCAGTCTTCTGATGTGGATGATTCTTGTAAATGCATTTACGAGTACATTATCGTCATATTCGTGGTTCTCATCGCCAGAGAGGGGAATTTTGAATTGGTTATACATTAATCTTTTCACTGGGCCTTACCCCTAAGAATACCTTATATCAATTTCCACTCTGTGTGTCTTTCCGCCTTTCGCGGTTCAACTGACCAGCAGTTCATTAGCAACCTTTAGTTTATAAAAAACGACCTATCAGTTTCCCTATCAAGCCCTTTTTATTCTAGTTTGGCTTACATGAGTCGACTTTTACTACTCGCCAAACTTACACGCTAACTAGGCCGGGTCAAGACGCACTGGTGACAACTCGGTAAGGGAGACAAGCCCAAACATGCTTCCCGCAGGGGAAGGGTTGGAAAATATTTTGAGCATAGTTGTGGTTTACTACTTAGACGGACCCTCCCAGTGTAGAACAAAAAAAGAAACCTCGGACTTTACGCTCTGTTTTTGACCGAACCGACTTCGTTCATAAATTTCTGATCTTCTAAATGTGGTGTCACATGCTTTTTGTTAATTTTACATTTTTGAATATTTTTCAACTTCATAAAGTGAAAGTAAAAAAGGAGTTTTTAGAGCCAGAAAAGCAAAAAATCACCAGTGTTCAGGAATTTGCTGCCTTAGCCCGGCTGTGGTATGACGGAAATTTTTCGGTCAGTTGCGGCAGGTTTTTTGATTAATGAGTTCTTCTTCATACGAATTGGAACTGTTAGTTCTATCACGGCGCAGAATCTCACTTACCTTTTATCCTTAGAAGCAAGTCCAGACTCGCAGAAAGATCGGCCTTACATGTCACTTAGTTCTACAGCCATTTAATTCAAACTATTTCTCCTTAAGCCGTAACTAGATCTTTTCTCGCCAATTCATTTGACGCAAGTCTCAGCCACTCGGGTCAACTGGTAATTCCGTTACAAACAAAAGATCGGGAAATAAGATATTATGGCGTCGCAAATGACAAGTTGTTACTCGGTGATTAGCCAATTGTTGCCTGGGATACCGATGATAACAAATGGTGGAGCAACGGGAGGGGAGTGAGGGTAGGTCGGATTCCTTGTACAATGGACTCTGGAAGTTTATCGAAGGTTCTCACTTTGAGAAGTATTCTTGCTTTCTTTGCTCAAAATCTCATAATCATTCGGCGTGTATATAAAACCTTGATCATATGAAACGTTTGTTTTGGAAATTATAAACTATTTTTCACTAAATCTATTCTAGTCCCAACCAGACCGACATAATATATACAATACACGAGGAAAAAGGAAATTCGGAAGTATGGTACACCTATCAAAAACTAGAAGAATTTTTCGCCGCCTTTGATTCATGGCTGTTACACCGTGTCTGATAACACAACGATCTGAAACGAATGTTCAGATGAAAAAAAACCCTACAGCATGATAAAAAACAGCATGTTCTCGTAGGATCAAAATTGAACCCAAGAAATATTTCACGACCTACCTGTGCATGGTAAAAAATCTACATGATATGAGCGTATTGCTCTAAAGCTTTCATTTGAGTCGTCAAGCACGACGATCTCTTCCACAGGAACGTAAATTTACAAGTTGTCAAAGTTCGATTCAATTCCTGAATGAAATGTGTAACGGGAACCCAAAGTTCATCTTAACTTTGTTTTCATCGTTTGAATGGGCAATCGAACTCTAAACCGGAACTATGGACCATTTAGTGATAGGTGACAGTTTACAAACATTCTTTCGCTTGAAAGCCTACGGCAAGATGGTGTCTCGTTTCGTATCACTTTATGTTCTGGATTTCAGTGTGTGGCCTTAGATAGCCAGCTTGTAGTGCTACGTGTGATAGTGCTATTGCTGAATTTAAAGGGGCTCGTAAATTACTGTAACCTTGGACTGGATTCAATAACGCTCTTTAGGAGATATAAAAAAATGACGTCGAAAGGTGCTATTACCTCAAGCTATGAGCATTCTGCTGATTAGAGTGAATTAATGAAGCCAATTAAGTGTATTTATCCGTTTATTCGCTTTGTTTTTCTTTTCCTTTCAGAAGTTTCAATCTGTCTCCGTTCAGAAAGATTATGGCTATTTATTGGGGTAAGAAAAACTATAATGAAAAAGCCATTCGAGGTTTATTTGTTTTTCGGAAAGGCACTATCGTGACTTTTTGCGACGGCTATAAGTAACAATCACTTAAGTTAGATTAATTCTCTTGAAACGATCAATGAAGATATGTTGACGTGTAAAGAGGGTCCTTGAAGAACGAGCACGAAACATTCAGCTCTCTGTCAGTCTTTACAAGGACCAAATAACAAAATGTGATACAGTGTTGTCACCAGACAGTCCGTAATTACTGAATAAACCTCATTTCAAGACAGATAAAGTATTGAAGCATATCGAAACTACATTATGCGCTTGAAATTAATAAAATTCACGTGTCAAGTTTCAAAGGTTGACAGGAATTCACCCTTCTTTTTTACCAATGTTTACGTTTTACAATCTTTTTCGTTATCGCCTTAATATCTGTCAGCAAAGATAATGATAAATTCTTATGGGCGTGTGAAACTTTTGCCAAAATTTATTGTTTTGCGGTGGTTGTCTCCACAATCGTCAGAAACCCAGTGAAGCTCTTATCAACAATTCTCTGTTTTAGGGATCGTGTACCTCTATAGAACTTTTCGGCATTTCAGTGTAATTTTGTGTGTGAAGTAAATTTATCTCATTCATAGGGCTTACTTTTAACTGTAATTTCATGTGCTCTCTTTCCGCTCTTTTCAAAAACAATAATAAGTTTTTTTTAAATTTTTGTTTTAGACCTGTCAATGATTTAACTTCGAGAGGAGTTCGTCAGAGTCCATGCACATGCGTTAGGTACATTCTATCACTGTCTAGCTACAGGTGACCGAAGGCAAAGAAAGGGTCATTTCTTTTTGCTCAGGGAATTGGATTTGAAGTGTGATAGCTAACTTTAGGAAACATTTTGAACGCGTTCAATTTGACAACCTTATTAAGATTGGTCACCTTTGAAAGATAGCGTGCTGGGTCAAAAACCACAGCAACACGATTAACGAGAGGCAATAAACATGAAAAGGGCAATGATGCATGCAACTGGAACAGATTTTATTTGTAATGCAAGCCTATCAAATGAAAGAATTTGCTGAATCAGATTTGTTTTGTGCTGTGCATTTCATGAAATCGCCTTTACGGCGTCTGCTCTTAAAGTTCCGGCTTAAAAATTATTAATTAATAATTAGTTTTCTGATGCTGAAAATAGAAATTCATCTCTTTAAGAACTTTTCGTCCGTACCATACCATCAAGATCTCTGTAATCCGTTGTGAATTATACAAGTATTCTGTTCAGCCCATATCAATCTTCTGCAATATCTTAAACGTGTGTTAACACGCCTGGTTTAGCCTAACCCACGATCAGGCGTTCTTTTTTTGAGGTAGAACATGCGATCAGGCATTCCTATTCTCAGGAGCCCGATAGTGCAGGAGTGCAACAGTCTTCGGGCGGAGTTGTCCCGCCTGCCGAACCTTGCTTTTCATTTTTGCGTTCCACCGAAAAAAAAAATAGAAAAGAAAATATCTTGTCCATAAAGAAGGTCCAGCCTGGATTGAGTATCGTCATTCAAGCGTTTAGAGTTATTTCATGCAATATATGGTTACGGCACAAATTTATTGATATTTTAGTGAACTCAACAGATGATCGAGTCTAAGATAACGGATTTATCATGGACGCCGAATGGTAAATTACAAGTATAATTGATTCAATGTTCAAATAAATCCAATTAAATCGAATTTATGAGGGAGTTCCATGAAAAGATAGCGCAGACCCCCACCACGATCCGTGAGAATGAGATCAGTGCTCTTTGGCATCATTACGCGCCTTCGAAGACGGAGCTTTCCATCTCCATGGTAACCTTTGTGTAGTTTACAAGGAAAAGGCTGGACGTGGAACAACTCACTGTTATTCATGATGCATGCATGCTGCGTGCATGCTGCGCGGCATGAATTCGTAGGGGTGTGACGCTTTGTCTAGCTCGTCGTGTGTTAATGTGATTTTGGTGTCCCAGTAAATTTAATGAATAATCAATCCCACTCTAAGATAATTGGTTGGCTTTGAATTTGTTTATTTAAACCGGATTGAAGCGTTCTCTTCGTCGTTGCGTTTATTACGGTCCATGTATGGACATCTTCTGGTGGATTTTGACCATTTGACAAGACAACTTTAATACATATTTTTAAAAATGGACATACGTGTTTGCCGTGTGGCCTCAAATAACCATTTGGTTATATTATGACAGAGATTTGGCGGCTGCTCCGTAATCCCGGCCAGTAAAAACAGAAAACACCCGATTATTTCGCGACCGATGGCCCGCTTTCTTTAAGTAAACACAATGTCACTGCATTTTCCAAATTTTCTCACACTCCTTTCCCAAACTATTTTCAGAATCCAGATAAACATGAGCAAAGCCCGTTGAACCATGCAATTTGTCGCCATCGAGCTTAAAAGATGATTTAAAGATTTGATAAGGCAAACCCGAAAATTATCGTTCAATCTAAGTTGATCTACTTAGATATTAAAAAGAAAATCCAGAGCTGAGTGTTTCCTACCTGAAGAGAAGGAAATAGTTGTCCTCGATCGTTCGGACACGAAGGCACAATAGCAGACCACAGAAGAACTCGAGTCACAGTGAAAGACACAGAACAAACGCGTCAGTTTGAGTCGAAAACGAGAACAAGTTGGCTTTTGTGACCGATGCAAGGATATGTCTGTCGCCACTTGAAATTGAGCTAATACGATGTCTAAACCCTTATTAACATTTTCGTGACTTTCTTTGAAAGCTCGGATCTCCATTGGGCCACAATCCTTCCGTCTTTAAGACTTAGAAAAGTTCTCGTGTATTGCAAAGTTCTCCGTCTCCAGGATGATACTACTGAAAATTCTCACGAAATCTCACTTTTTCTGAAATGAATAAAGGATTACATTAAGTGATAAATTTCGAAATGGCTGACTTTTCTATAACGCCTCTCATCGTGTTTGTGAAGGTTGCTTTTCACAAATTTGTCTTCTGAACTTTGCGTTAATTTCATAACCTTTCAGAGCCACTTATCAAGTGATTATTGAAAAGCTGGCTTAGAGACGGCTTCTTTAATACAATTTCGACGTTAATGCGGTTTATACAGGAAAAATCCTCCGGCACGAAGCAAATCTCATCGTTCAACTAAAAAGGCTCTTTTTGTCTGAAACGAAGCGAGTATTCATTCAATCCGTTGGTCTTAGTGGCATCTTCTATTTTCGTCTTAAAATAAGCTGAAAAATACACAATCTTGTTCGCGAATTTGTTTATTTGACCTCTGTATCGGAGGACGGACTTTGAGATGACGTCACGACTAACAAAATTTTCCTTCTTTATTGTATAAAACAAACAGATTCTATTTTGCCGTGCGTCTGTACGTGTAGTAGTAAGTCACAGAAGGGGTTGTAATATGTTCAGGATATCAGTGAAACTCGCAGTAGCGCCTCGTGTGCTAACTGTTTGTTCTTACCACATCTCAACGTCAAGTTTGATCTGTTACTGAACAGTGGGACAGATGCACGGCAGCATGGAATCTATTCATTAATCTTCCACTTTCTGACCTTTAATCTTAATTGTTGTCTAACAGCTAGCATGTAGTAAAAGCGTATTCAGACGGATCCAGGGTTTAGAATACTACTTGCTTAGGAGGCTGCCTCAAACTATCGCACTCTACGAAATATTTCGGAGTATTTAGTTATTTATTTCGTTAATTAGTTACTTTCGTTATTATTGCTGAAGCCACCCACTGGAAGTGTTAAATAAAACAATACTATTGTCCTTATTAGTATTATGGCAGTGTAAAACTTCAGGGCCCAATTGTATTAAAGGCGGATTATGCTACCCTACGGATAAATTGCTATCGAGCGGATAAATGACAACAAAACGTATATCGTTATCCACTGGATAAAGATTTATCCAGTGGATAGTGTCATCTGACCTTCGAACAACCGGGACCTGGATGCCCAGATCCTGACCACGATAGTTGGTGATGAAGCTTAAACCTGTATTATTATCATTATTATTATTACTATTATTATTATTACTATTAATTATTATTACCATTTTCTTTATCATGGATCAATGTCAGTATCTGAGTAACGGCTTACCTACCCCTCCCCTAACCCCAACAATAGTCAACTGATAACAAGTTACTGGTGAGGATTGTGCCGGGTTAGGGGAGGGGTAAGGGCAAAGTTGCTCACTGGTCCGTTATCATTATCATCATCATTTTTGTCATATAGTTATCGTTATCATTATTATTATTATCATTATTATTATTATTATTATTATTTTAACTATTGTGTTTATTACTATTCATTTGTCACCTTGGGAAAGAGAGATGGACCGTTTGTTTATCAACATAGAAAAATTAACCACAGTACTAAACGCGATCTGATTCGTCAAAAATCTACCGTTCAATATACTAATTTACGACAGAGAACTGTAACATACAATCTCAGCTGCAAATGTTAATAGAGTACCACAGCGCTCTTTCAGTCGGTTTACCACAAATTTTGCAAGAACATCAAAAACGTTAATCACGATCAATATACAGCGCGCGGACTGACGCCTGTAAACCGATAGAAAGTCGTGTGTATATCTTAGCGAAATACCTCCTCAAAATTATGAAGAAGAACATATGTCCTGTTCTCAAAGCCAAAAATGGCAGCTCTTTTGGCAGTTACTCGTTCATCGCTCCCTTAGCCCATAACCACGACGTTAAGTGCCCTGCAGCACCACACAATTTCATTTTTTCCCACAACATCTGAAACCTAATTCAGCCAATTAATATACTTATATTTCTTTGTTTAGTTAACATTTAGAAAGTTTGTTGCAATAACGAAATGTCTCTTTGTTGATTATTTTCTGAATCAATCTCATCACCTTTTTTGCTTGCTTGAAGGTATGTTACGATTAAAAAAAATTGAGATATTGATCCCTAGTGGAAGTCTGAGAGTTTATCCGAAAATGTGGAGCACAGAAATCGGTAGAATTCTCATGGACCCCTAACCCCTCCCCTCTTATTACTTGCCTCAGGGGAGTGTACTGGCGCTCACGTGTCCAAAAAAGGGGTTGGCAAATGCGGCTTAATGTTGACGCTCGACCCGGAAAAGGTCAGTTCACACCTTAAACCGTTCGTATCCCGCAAACAAATAACGACTAATATATGTAGAACTAATTTCATCAATCACGCACAAAAAATATGAGATAAGGAAATTGTTTAGGCTGTGTGAACATGATCTTCGTGAATAGGAAGGTGGAAGTTTGCCAAACTCCCATAATCTACCCAGGCTCTGAATATTGTGTTTGCTAACTCCAGTGTTTCTCCTACCTGAGAACAAAAGCCTTTGGTTTTTTGATCTCGTGCAAAAACGAGAAATCATAACGCTTCTAATAAAAAATTCTTCAGGAATAAAACTTCCATGAAGTTTGGTCAAATCATGTAACCATCTGCTAACGGATATCCATAACAGACACTTTAAGGCTTCTAAAAAAATAGATACTGTTGTTGTTTTTTTGTTTTTTAACAACAAATGATTAAAATGTCTCTCATCAGATGACAAAGACATTAAAACCTTCACTGTAAGACCATTTTGTTGTAGGTAAATAACTCTTTGTCTTGTTTAATGGACACAGGCCCCATGCTAGGTTCGATTCAGCTGTAGACATTGCGGTTAGTTTTAAGATGCCGGTTCTTTTAGGCGGAGCGCATTGGCAGTCTCTCCAAAGTAAACTTATCGGATCAAAGCATCTTAATTTTCCTGGACCTCCCGGAAAACTAAAGCTTTTGCACACGTTCTCAGAGATACAGCCCCCTTATAGTCCCAAGAGCTATACACAAGGCCTCTTTTCAGTGATCGCGCCTTTTACGATTTGTGGGCCATTCTTGTGGAACAAAGTGCCCCTGAGATAAGATCAAATGCTACCGTCCTTAAAGGAAAGAGATAGACACAACTCTTTAGACTAGAATACGAATTGTTTCAATTGTTTTAATATTTCATTTGTTTGCAATTTTTTTTTAATGTTTTTACTGTCTCGCCGTTTTCGCAATCAATGCCATTTTTGTTACACGTGACTTTTCTTGCTCTCTGTAAATTTTTGTAGGATTCTTTGTGATTTATAGACTTTAGACTGTACAAATGTTGTCATCATTATCATCATCATCATCATCATTACCATGTGATGAACAAAAAATCCGTCATTTGTATTGGCTTTAATTGTAACCGTATAAAATTATGAATAAAGTGCGGTTTTTCTAATTGTTCCTTTGCGGAGTTATGGCACGCCAAGTACTTTTCAGGGAGAGTGGCTCTCTTCTTGACAAAGTGAGGCCGTGAAAATGTTCATCTTGGACGAGAAAATTCAGATTTCACAAAAGTGTCTGTCAACTCCCACGCAAGTCAAAAGTTAACATCTGACATCTCGAAATTTTGCCATCTCTGTAATGAGCTTATGGTTCAGCAGCGGGCAAAGGACATATTGCTTTCGTCTTTATCCATTCAGCTGTTTTTTACAATATTGTTAAAGTCAGGCAATCACCGTCGGTGTTTATCCAAAGCCGCGTAGTTCTCAAATCTGTCCGCGCTTCATATGATTTGCGTCAGGTAAACGTGCGTGATTTGTTTACCCTCAAGTTATCTCTTGTTGATTGTCATGTTCCGAGCGCCATAATCCTAGTATGGCGCGCCATGTGTAATTCCGAGACAAAATTCCTTTCGTAAAGAAGTGTGTCCTCATATATTCACCCTTAATGAGAATTTTAAGTGTCTTCAAGGTCAAATGAAATACTAATCATTCTTGTGGGCTTTAAGTTTCATTTATGTGAAACCCTGAACTCAGCACTTGTCAGTGGACCTTTAAAAGGTCAAGTCCGCAACCAACAAGACCTTTAAAAAATCTTTCCCTTGACATCTTTAACCTGATATGTTCAACTGCAACAAAAGCGCGAAGTAAAATCCTCTATTATGGTCTCAGTTCAACGCGTGGGAAGATCATACTCTTCTGTCAACTGTTTCCTCTGGTCAAGAAATTTTATTTTTGCGCTTTGACAGACTTTTTTTTTTCAGTTTCTGTCAGGTAACTGTACGCCGATAGCAACTTTTTGTTCACTGTCGAAGCCCCCTTTGAACGAAGAGGAAAAATATTTGGGTACATTCCAGAAGGTCGAAGGGCGAGGGGGAGACCAAAGACCACTTGGAGAAGGACTGTTGAAAGAGAGAGAGGCAAGGCGGGGTAGAAGAGCTGGAATATGGCCAAGTTGGCGGCGAGCGACAGGGGAGGTTGGGCGGACAATGTGATGGCCTTATGCGCCCACTGGTGCAACGAGTGATGATAATAATGACTACATTTTACAGGACTGCTTAAATCAGCGTTTCATAAATCAAGAGCTGCGTAAGTAGCAAGAGTTTAGCTCACTGACTTTTAAGGTATTTTTACATGTTAATGTATTTTCGAAAGACAACAAAAGGCTTACTTATGTTAGGTAATAACAAAGGGAAACAGAATGGAGAAAGAATAGCAAGGATTTCAATTGATCAGCTTGGCTAAATTTGCGATGTTTGTTCTTTTGGTGGAGCTCACTCAGAGCTAAAAATTATTGATTACTGCCTATCACTTTGTTGTTCTACCATTTACGCCGAGCCAAGTTCTGGCTCTTAACTTCCTTTATCGCCGTCTAGACTTCAAAGGCGCGCACCCGTGCGCGCGCCATACTTTTGATGTAAGTTTCCGGTCAGACAAGGGAAGCTCGAGTTCTCCTAAACATATCAGGTTTTTGGTGTGGAATTTCTTCGTCTCCCTCTCCACATTAAGACGACGCCTCAAGGTGGGGCCATTCATTTTTCCAGAATTACCCTCTCAGAGACTCCTGGGCCGAAAGCTTTCAAAAAGGCGGAGGGGGGTTGGGGGGAGGGATTCTGGATCAACGTCCTAAGGGGTCACATGCACCTGCCTAGAATGCCTAGGGTGTTTGGCCCGGAGGATGACACTGTCCTACAGGTCTAAACGAGTATCTCCCACCCATGAGGATGTGGTTTTCGGAGTCTTAAATCTTAAATAAAGTACAAAATTTCAGCATTTAGTATCTTTATCAAGATGTCCTGTTGGCCTAAGGCCTTGAATAAGTGGATGTGGATCCTTCATGTGCTGTGCTAATTCAAAATATTTCAACTATAATTGTACATAAGCATTTAATTAACATGAGTGACAATTACCCTTGCACCTTCGTTCCCGGGGCCCTGGGAACGAGGATGACTCCTCAATTTTAGCAGCAAATCTCGGTAGTAATGTGAAGTCGCCATGGTAACGTTTTCTATATTACCAAGATGGTTTTCCAAATTTTTCCAGAGCAAGATATTGCGGCATTGAAAAATGCTGCGGAAAACTTTGGTCTTCTTTTAACAAATTGCCTTTTACTGCAATTCAAATTTTACGAAAGGAGGTTTTGGACCAATTAAGAAATGCACTTTTGGCTCTGATAGCGGATTATCGATCGCAAAAAATCGTCACATCAAAATTTGTGGACGTAAAACATGAGTCTCGTGGTTTGAATAGCTGGCAGAATTTCTAATGAAATGATAAATGTTGTTTTGCTCTTGTTGTTGCCCCAGTTATAAGATGTTAGTTACGGTACTGAAGTGTCTGATGGCGGAGTTGCCCTCTTTTTATAAAATCCATAGTATTGGTTGGTTGACTTCAACTTCAATCGTTATCCTTTCCAACCGCGCAAACAATTTTGCATATCACCATATCAACTTGGCTTTAAGATTTTTCAGGCGTAAGACACTAAAGAAATTGGGTCACTGCATTTATCCATCTAGAATCAAGACTAGAACAAATTACGTCCGAGAAAAAATTTAATTTCAATGGAAAACCATGGACAAGAAACTTTTTTTTCGGAATAGCATCTGCCTAGTTTTTACACTAATCGCGAGGAAAAATGTGTGAATTTCTGGGTGTATCCTGTAATTGATCCTTGATCTCGAAACTAATATCAGAGGATATTGCTTAAATCTTTTTCAGATTATGCTTTGTCTGGTAGCACGACACAACCTTAGGATTCTGTTACAAATATGCCTTTTTGGTTAAAAGAACCGAATTGTATGAAAACAGAAGCGTATAACGTGAGTCATATGATCATTGGATCAACTGGTAATCCCCTTAATGATATTTTTCATTATTCTCATCACTTGAATGGTTTATATTGTATTGATATCGTAAGGAGAAATTATGTCTTGCTGACAAGTGGGAGTTACAGTATTAATAAAGTTAACGACCTGTTTCTAAGGAACATGAATATAATTAACAACCACATATAAAGTGCGGGTGACCAGTCTTTCGTGTTGAGGGTAAATACATCATATCTACCTTAACATGATTTTCTAAACCTTTTTTCGGTTATTTCGTTATTTTTAATTTCTATTTTTTCCTGTAGGCTTCCCCTAGCAATATAAGTTAATTAATTAATTTGAAAAAAAAAACATTGTGTCAACTTTTTAATTATCACAAAAAATCAATAAATTTAGTATAACGCGCTTGACAAGAATCGTTTCCATGCTCGCAGTCCAAAGATCAACATTAAGAAAGACAGCTAAATGAGCGCGCCTCGTTGTAAACCATTAAATCTTACTGGTAGTTTTTCAACTTATTTTGTGCCGTTTATGCTCATTGACGCCGGAAATCTGTGGTTTAGCGTATTTCTTATGAAAACAGAATTGCTCATATTAATTCTGAGGTTAAAAATGCGACAGATGATTTTTAGCTAGGACTATCGCCCTTGATTTTTGCGGGATCTTGAGATATTTCCCATGGGACGCAAACGCGCGAGTTTGAATTTCTATTACGTGGAAAATATCGTGCTGATAAAAAAAAAGAAAAACTGCTCTCTTTCCAGCTTAATTAGCTATTACGTCACATAAATAGCTTTATTTCGATTAAGCTGTGCTTAAAATTGGTACCCATTGCTAAGTGATAAAGGGGCTAAGAGTTTAATCTTGGTGCGATTAATATGTCACGCGTGTACACACGTATGAAACACGCACGCGAGCAATGTGAGGAAAAGGTTAATTCATTTGATACGAGTCATTATATGGACAGAGGAATATGTCTATAATGACTATTTAAAAGGCGCCAATTCGACGCTAATATTTTTTTTCACCGCAATAATATCTATGTCGGGCCCACTTGACCGCTTGACTTGTTATTTTGTGGTATTCTGACGTTCTGTGGCCCGCGTGATAATCTTGTTGATAAATTTATTCATGAGTTTTGAGTCGGTGTACTTTTGTCATCGCTAGACACGTTCACGTTCACTGCGGCCTTTGTTTTGAAAATTTGCATTTGTTTGAACTATCTCGTTCTGTGATTGATGGTTCCTGTAAACCACCAACAGATATGTGAATTACAAAACTAATAACAGTGTGCTTGCTCCAAGTCAAGTTCATGTTACCGCGAGATCACTTAGCAAGGAAACTCCAAATTTCCTTTTGAGGGATGAGTTTGAATACCAAATCGATGCGGGACAGGACTCCAAAGTGCTCGATTGTCCTAAGCAATGTCTTAGCGATCGTATTTCGACCGACATCAACAGTACACAACTGCGAAAATATTCGCAGAGACGACTCGTCTGAAAGCGGCGATCCTAAACCGTCGCATCAACTCAACGGATTAGAATTATTCCACGAATTCAAAGAGGCGAACAAATCTACAATGCTAACAAGGCTAACGGAGAGTTTGAGCGAGATTCGGCTGAAAGGCTGGGTTTTTCCGTTCACATTACTGATCAAAGGACCACATGAAGATGTTGAAGTGATCAAGGAGGCTTGGAGACGCCATTTTCTCCGGAGCCCGGATAATTTTATAATCAAAGATATAGGTAAGTTTATTTCAGTCATCCAAGTAGTTTTTTTTTGCTTTTCAGATTGCGATCAGTCGAGATAAAAACGCTTTCATGAACTCGTCAATCAGCTTTGCGGGGCTTTCCTCAGAAACTGATACCTAGAATTATTGCTAAGTGTTCCTCAACGTAATTTGCGTTTAATTAGACTGCCGAAACCTACTCGCATTCAAAACTCATCATGTTTTGAGCACCGCAACACATCCCTCAGGGGAACTTGTTCTGACATCCTGATCTGTGGAGAGGGAAAAAACGCTGTAAATCGTTCGATCTACGCGCAGACAGTTAGCGAGTTGTTATAGGCAAACAAGTAGATTCTCAGAGCAGGTGTATATAATACAACCGATGACATAAGTGCAGATAGCCGGTCGTACAATATTACAGTTCTGTTATTTCTCAATATGAGTTCGCCAGAATGTTCTTGCCGTGCCAACCTTAGCTTTATGCGAAAACAATGTAGTGCATTTAACTCAAACACTCTACTACGATCTAGTTCGCTGTTCTGGATTCACTTGCTAATGCAGTTACTTCTTTGTAACGTATTCAAAATTACACAGATTAATAATTAACACGCTTTTAAACTGACCAGAAATATATCGTTTTAAGATAGTTCCAGATAATCATGTGCTTCTGATACATTTTACTGTTTTGGTTTTGGCTCATTTGAATTTTCCATTAAGGACAAGAGGTTTTGCTTGACTGGAGAAGAAAAGCTGCGGGCTTCCGATTGATAAATAAGTTTTTACATGGATGATTTCACCCGTGAATCTGTCGCAGTTATGTCTCTCAAACAACCAAACTGTTTTCGACATGAAACACGGTTCTGACTGCTTCAGGCTTTTAAAGCTACAACGAAGAAACTAAAACAACTCCGGAGACTTTCTATTTGATAAACATATGATCAACGTCTGAGTCCAAAATTAAGTTCATTTGTCTATTGTGACGGCTATTGTCAATGAAGGCTTTGAGAAATGACAAAGAAAGGGATATTTAAGCGTTTCCACGCGTGATATCTTTAATAAGCCGTGTTCTTGATGTTTTGAATGAGTTAAACAGTTCACCGATACAAAAGAATACGATACTAGAATCACTCTTTATTAGTTTTCTTTCACTCTTGGACTGATAGCAGGGTAGCACATTGTTTCATTTCGCTCTGCGATTCAAATGTTGATGTTGTCGCACACTGCTCATTTGCAAAACCTTAGCTATTCTTTCCAGCCGGAAGTCATGCTTTTATAGTGAGTTTTTCGCCGAAAGCTAGGATTAACAGGATCTTTCCTGTTCAAATCCAATTGTGTTTTTCAATGGGAAAGGAATGTCACACAAACTTAAAACATCTATCTGTACTCTTAAGTACACAATAGCATCAAACATGGTACAAGCAAAAAGCAAACTGCATTTGCAGAAGACATAATGTCTCGAATATTAAATGAAAACTGGCGGGAGGTAAGAATCTCACTTGATTTTATCATGTTATTTTTATCGTAACTTTTTATGGAACTTCACAGGGATTTCTCCTCAAGTTTGAATTGCAGTTATTTTCAGCATCAAAGTAGATGAGAATTTTGTTTTAAAAGCCTCCCGAATGAGAAGGAAAATTTGAACAAGTGCGAGAAGGATTGTGTTCGCTTTAACGATTTTAAGTGAGCAGTCTTTGTCTTCTGCCGTGCATGACCTGCTAAGACAGTGGGCGGACCAACTAATGGGAAGAAAAATAAAATTTAGTCAAAACAAAGTAAAAGGAACTTTCATACTGAGAGGAACAAGGAATAATTTTATAGCAAGATGATTAGTAGAGAATTCGTTTTGAGCGCAAATGTTCACTGCAGCACGCAATGTTTTCAGAGAAAAACTGAAAAGTTTTGGACCAGAGTCCGATTTTGTTCTGCTGATGTAACTACATTGTTTAAATTTTTTGCGGTTTGGGAAAGATACTATTCCTGTAAACCTTAAGCTTTGCAGTAATTTGCCAAGTATTTTTCCTAATGCGCTGTAGTTGTTCTAGAAAACATCTAAACAAATTGGTGTTTACATTTCGGCTGGCTATGAGCGATATTAAGAATTTTCACTTTTTTTCGGTAATTTGCTCCGAAGATATGAGCAATGGAAAGAGAGGAGCTCTTTTTTTCAATTTTAAATAATAGTTTCCGTTTTATTTTATCTGCTCTCCGTCACATCAACACTAGCTGAGTTTTCGTGTTCATGAAATGTAACACCGGTGCGCAAATTCAAGAAAAGCCTATTTAAAATTTCAGCAGTGAACAAGTATGGTAATAAGCAGGAAATAATGGTACTTAATTCTTGTCAAACTAATTTTTCTTTTAACCTATGCAAAAAAAGGAAAAATAGAGAAGAAAAGGTAACTTGAAATAAATTGTCTTTACTACACTTCCACGTACACGCGCGTGCCCTTCTCCCACGTACACGAGCGCGCGCGGATACGATTTGCACGCACGTGAGTTTTCTTCTCGTGCCATCCGCGCTGCATCATCTTAAAAATAACTGCAGCGAAATTGAACTTGTGAATTGGATAGTGTTCATGCGATACCGACTCTGTCTGTGATGTTCCTCAATTGCTTTTTTTTCTTTCATTCGATAAATGAAAAGTCAGCGAACCGTTTGAAAATTTCGAAACTGCAAAACCTCCCCCTCTGTCCCATATTTTATCCTGATAAATACATGTTGCTGTGATGAAAGTTTTTCACCTTCGTCGATTCAAGACCGATAATAGATTTCCTTGGGAGTACTTGCCTTTCTTTACTTGAAGCCATCATTATGACAGTTGATTCTCTCGTTCCCAGTCCATGCAGTTGCAAAGAGCTTCGATAGTCGATACTCAGTACAAAGCTAAGTTCGAGTAGTGATTAAAAAATTAAAAGGGTAAAATTTTTACAGAAATACTAGGATTATTCGAAAACAAAAAGTGAGGCACACTTAGCCTCTCTCCCATGGAGCAACAGAGCCACATTGAGAGGGGTGGTCATGAAATAAGTGCTACACTATCGTCCGGTTGGCAATTTTCCGGCTGTTTCATTATAATTCAAGTCGTTTTCTCGACCAAGAGGGGATCACATGCTCTTTAACTACCCCCCCCCCTCCCCTCAACCCCACACACACCCCGCGCGCCTCCCTTCACCGGTTCATCAATTCACACCCATAATCTTAAAAAATTTTTAGCAGGAAGTTATTCGTTTCAACTTTTCTCACGCCCTTCAAACATTACTCTCCCCAGGCGCTGTAAGCTCTGTTGGTATGGAAGTTATCCAGCAAGCTCCATTCCTTCCATTAACCAAGTCTCTGATGGAAACCATAGCTGCCTTGAATAGCAGTCAGTTGACAGCCACACAGCAATCGATCGCGGAATACCTGGCAAGAACTTACCAATACGTACACGTGCCGAAACTCAATGTGATTCATGACTGCCTAGGAATTCTGATCAAGGAACGTAGAATTTACCACACAGGTAATGGATACTTTGTGAACGGTCATAACCCTTTTAACAAACCCACAGACGCGCCAAAAGAAAATGGCGAGGTTCAAAGCGCGAAAGAATCGAAGTGCGTGGCGTGTGAAGTCATTTCAAAAGGAAAATCAGCGAAAAATGACAAAAGTAAGAAAAAAGGTAAAGGAAAAGTAGAGGATAATGTTAAGGAGAAGGAAAAAGAAAACGAGAAGAGCAGAGAGGAGGCCAAATTGGAGCGAAAAGCTTCAGTATCTAGCACTGAGACTAAAGAAGCCAGAGATGGGAAGTCGTTGACGCCGCATACACAGGAAGAGACAACAAAGCCTCCGAGTGAAACAGCGAGTGAGACAAGCAGCGAAGGAACAAATAAGAAGCCAAAGAAACAAAAGAAAGGTGTACTCAATCAGATATCCTGTTTTATCAAAGGCAAAACCCTTTCCTCTGCAGAGGTATCTGAAGATACAATACAGGAGACAAACATTCTACCCACCTCTCCCCTTCAAGCACCGCTTGCTGGTCCAGAGGACATGTCGCCCTCCCTCATGAGAAACGAAAAAAGTGTTCTCCAACAACTCAGATTTAAAAGGACTTTGTCTGCTCCGGCGGGCCATTCACCTTTGTCTGTGCCACTTCCGAAGCTTCAAGAGTCCAACGAACGAAAACCCAAAACACCGACTCCAAATCTCAAGGAGCTTGGCAGAAGTAAGTCCTTTTCCGCCACAGAAAAACGCCCCCAGCTTGTCATGCGAAGCAATTCATTCACTGCTCCAAGCACAGCAACCAGAGTCGCTCGTCAGATTTCGACCGAGGGTGCTCCTGTGACTTGGGACCGACCACGCCCAAGAATGAACTACGGAGACATCATTCGGAACACACCAGGGAGACGAACAATCCATATCTCTCAACCAAATTCGTACAATATTGGAATTATCAGACCCATGAATGCGTCTCAACAGCAACCGCTATCACGAAACAGCCCCATCACAAGAGAAATCCCCCGGAAGATAGAAGGGTCACTGTCACCTTCCAGTATCCCTCGGTCATGCGCTTCTCCCTCGAGTGCTCCTCGTTTAAAAGAAAACTCAAATCATGCCCGTGTCCCTGTGATGCGGAGCAAGTCTTTCACGGAACCAGGCGCAGTGAAGCTTCCAAACCGTCAGTTTTCCCATCGCCAAACGATCGGGTCACATTATGAGTCTCCTCTGCAGCAGCTGTTGGCGAGAAATACCCCGGGCTACACCTCCCCTCCGAGTAAAGTCGTGCGTGTGACAACTGTTCCTAAAGGAGTCAGGTACCATGTCCCAGCCAAACACTTACCTGCTTCGCTTAAGAGGACTACACCCGGTACGTTCGCCCGGAAGCAGCAGAAACAACCATCAGCTTTGCCTCAGAGCGGAACTCCTCGAGAGAAACCACCGCCACGCACCGATTTCTCTTCGCCTATCTTCTATGATACGAGCAAACTCGCTGACAAAGGCAAAAATTGCTTGAATAATGGCAATGTAAAAAATGCTGGCGGAGAAGCCAAGTTTCAGACTCCAGTCTCTCAGCCAAACTGCACTTTTCAGCAAGCCCGCGGTGCACCATCAAATGGTGTCAGCAGTGAATACATTTGCATAGAAGAGATGTCGTCAACATCAGCTTCCGAATTAACTCTAACTGAAGAGAGTGACAGGTGCACGGAGACTAGGAACGAAAATGAAGACAGAACACAGGGCCTTTACAAAAAAATCACTGAGGATACTGTTAATGATAGTTTAACATTTATTGGTATTATTTAGTAAATATTAAGGCTGGTACTGATACTTGAAGCTAGAAGTGATTGCAGTTTTTTATCAAAAAAGAGGAATCGACTAGTTAATCATGGGGAAAAATACATCTGTCGTGTTCCTATGGCACGTTGTGCCAACGAAGATTATTTTTGCCTTCTCGGAGATTTGCTGAATTCGACGCGAGGTAAAAAATAATTAAATTCGATGATTTTGTAGTCTGATAGAATTTAGTACGTCAAATTTTGTATTCAAATGAAATGATTTAGGTTTCTAGAGAGGTTTATCGGTAGAAAAATAGAGAATATTCTTAAAATGATTTTGAAAGTGATTTTTTAATGATTCTTGTAGAAGCTTTTTTGGGAAATGGCGATGATGATAATAGACAAAAGGAGCACATTTTTAGAAAATTTTGAAAACAGATATTTGATACTAAAGTAAACTACGGTAGATATCATAAATGCTGCAACCTGATTGGCTAAACTATACTTGTTATCTATTCTATGATAGACAGGGGAATACTGGTAAGAAGCAAAACAGCGTGCGGTTGTAAACAAAATGAAAAAAGATATGAGCCTGTCGTATTTATAAGTTTTGAAAGACTAGCAGATTTAAAGCAAAGAATTAGATCATTTGCTCTCGATTTGTATACGTAATAGTTGCTTCTTTCTTCGCCTTCGTCAGCCCTACACAATAGAAATCTTGAGCTCGTTAAACATCAGTATTAACTGAAGTTGCTTGTCACAGTTGTAGAAGGCAAAATATATTGTCAAAAAGAGCAAGGTGCGGATTTTTTTTCTCCCCTTCTCCACGAGTTCTAGTCCTCCTTTTATAGCATAGACCTTTTCTTTCTTGACATTGCCGACAATTTTTCAGGTCGCAGAAATCTGAGATATTTTGGCATTATATTTCTCAACCTCTGGCTTCAGTTATTTTGCAAGTGGGATAAACTTTATAAATAACTGAAGTTGCTTGTCACAGTTGTAGAAGGCAAAATATATTGTCAAAAAGAGCAAGGTGCGGATTTTTTTTCTCCCCTTCTCCACGAGTTCTAGTCCTCCTTTTATAGCATAGACCTATTCTTTCTTGACATTGCCGACAATTTTTCAGGTCGCAGAAATCTGAGATATTTTGGCATTAAATTTCTCAACCTCTGGCTTCAGTTATTTTGCAAGTGGGATAAACTTTATAAATAACTTTGTAAATTATTATTTCCATTCGTGTTGATACATCGTTTATACACCTTTACGTTAACTGCAATTCAGGCGAAAATCGTTGGAGTCTTGATGTATCAAACGATCAATAGCAGTAGCGCTGTCAGTGAAGGAGATTTCCTGGGAGTGATCAGAAATTTTAAATTTTTGGACTGACGAAGGGTAGTTAAATGTAACATGGAACGTTCACCTTTTAAGATTTCGTTTGCTATTTTAAAATCTATTTCCTGTCAATTTAGAGGAAGTTTGGGACTGGTAATTATATGTCGCCAAAGAAGGGGGCGGGGGAAGGTAGGGAGGGGGGTCGGAGATTTTTGGCTATTTTATGATAAAATTTACCTGATCCCCCCTCATTGGCTGTTATTTGGCAGTTAATTTTCTATAGTCCCACCCCTCCTATGTACTCTGTCAGCGTCGACTGATTCCCCTCCGTTCACCCTGAAAATCTTGTGATCCACCCTGAAGTCCAAAAATCCTCCCCCACCCCCACCCCCCACACACAAACCCACCCACCCACTCCAGGTTATAAATAATGTCGTACTTGTCCCCTGGTGGAATTCAGATCAAAATGTTTTCTACGGGGAGCATCGGATCTTGGGTATCGCTTTCTCAGTCGCGCTTAAGCCCCTCGACTGGAGAAAATTCTGTGCTGGCCCTGATAACCTTGGGTTGTGCTTTCATAGAGGCTCGTTTTCCAATACAAGTTTACTGAGCGAAAAAATTAGCCCAAGTATCTCGATATTAAACTTTTAATTGTTTCCCTTTAGTCTGCAGGGCAATGTTCATAGAAACTGATAAAAACAAAAGATGATTTTTCTTCGATATCATTTCTTAAGTAAACACCGGAAAATTATATTTGTTTGAAATTTATATTATGTTTGAACAAATCTATAAACAATTACATTCACGTATACAATCTGCCATTTTGACTTTTGTTTTCATCATAAATTTAAGAAGTTTCATTTATGCGACTTACAACTGTTTCCATTTGAGTGAGAATAAAAAATAGGATTATTTACATAAACAGGATTTGATCCTGTCTTTTCCATGATCATCCCGCACCTGTTACGATAAACTATTTACCTTGTAAGAAAACACAAGTACAGCTTGCCTTTCCATTGATTTCTACCGTGTGAATATCGCTCGAAAACCCCAATTGCAAAATCATTTCTGTTTGACGAGGAGAACAGTTACAACAGCTCAATTAAGTGAAACAAACGAACTATTCGCATCCGTCAGACGGCTGATTTATTAATTGCATTGAAAACGCAAAATTATCTGTCTAATAGCTCATTGAAATTTCCTCTTTTTATGGAACTCAGCGGGTACTTGAATTTAAAACATTTTTAATGCCATAAGTTTTTATGAGTGGGAGCTGACGACATGTTATGACAAGCTCTCGGGTATTTCTATTTTGACTTGAAGTCCTGCCAAGAACTACATAGTCAACCACAAGCAAAAATCACGCAGATTTTGAAGTTGCTGGGGCGACTGTCGCCTTTACAATTTTCCTACTGAAATGGCAGCTGTATTCTTGAAGATTAAAAACAACAGGGTGTGAACTTTGTCGGGGTTTCCAGCAGGACAACTAATTGTATGTTGCGTTTTTCCGAAAGAGTGAGAAGAAAACTTCGCCGCCGTTATGTCCTGTAATCGCTCAGGAATTCTCACCGCAAGTTGGTCTTCTTCAGAAAAAATCATTTCTTTCATTGCCCTTTTTGTGGTCAATTTCCTGGCGGTTACCGGCAACTTCTTGGTTGTGATAGTTATTGCGCGCACGAGGCAGCTTCGTCGGAAGGAATCAAACTGGTTTGTGGTAAACTTGGCGCTCGCCGATCTGTTTGTTGCCTTCACTGTAATCCCAACGACATTGGACACCTTAATGAGTGGCGGCTTTCGACTCGGATTCAAATTTAAGGAGTTTATCGGCTTTGCAAACTTTCTATTTTGTATTTGTTCCATCATGAACTTGCAGCTACTATCGTTCGACCGATGGTTTGCGATTGCGAAACCATTCAAATACATATCTTTTGTTAGCCCGAGAAAAGCCGTGGCGGCGTCTTTGCTTGTCTGGCTTTATGCTATGTTCTGTGCTCTTCCGCCAAAATTCGGCCTAAGTTCATATTTCTGTTTCATCCCTAATCTGGATAACTGCGATATTGAAAAAGACTGGTCTGGATCAAGTGGATCTCTCGTCTTCGCCATCGCAGTGTTAGGGCTAACATACTGTTTCGCACTGACTGTAATGGCAGTTTGCTACTGGAAAATATTCGGAATCGCGCGTTCACACGTTCGGAGGATAAACGTTCAGAATTTTCCCAATTGCATGTCAAGTGAAAAATTTCAACCACTGCAAATGAAGGATATTTCATATTCGTCGACTTCTCGAATAGAAACACCAAGGAAAACTTTCGAAATTTTCGCTCCTATTGCTTCAAACAGCAGACAAACTCGGGGACATCGCTCCCACGCATCCGACATTCGAACAGCAAAAAGTTTCCTTACCGTGATCGGGGCGTACTTTTTTTGCTGGACTCCTTTCTGTGTAAAATTGTTCCTAGACATCCTAAAACAGGAAAAAATCAACCCCAAAGTGAGTTTGATTTTTCTGTGGCTGGGTTATACAAATAGCTGCTTAAATCCTCTCATTTATACCTGGAAGTACAAACAGTTCAGGAGCGCTTTGATATTAGCTACGAAGAAATTTCGCGGGAGATTTTCTGTGAGCAGATCGAGCCGGCAATAACAGATGGGGTACTCATTAGGGACCTTAAGCAAACCACGATGGCGACGGCAACGAGGACATGGTAAAACAAAAGATCTAATTGGCAGAGCAATAGCTCAGCACGCGCATTTTAAAATGAATATGAAAAATAAACTGAAAAATACTAAAAAATTGTTTCATTATTGTTAATTTTTTAATCACGGTACCTATTGGATTATGGACCACTTATGGGTTGCACGATCACGAAAACTGGACAGAGGCAAGAGAATATTGACTATATTATCTTGATAGAGGTAAACAGAATATTTCTTCCTACCGGCAATAACAGATGGGGTACTCATTAGGGACCTTAAGCAAACCACGATGGCGACGGCAACGAGGACATGGAAAAACAAAAGATCTAATTGGCAGAGCAATAGCTCAGCACGCGCGCGTTAAAATTTTGTACATTTCTTAGCCGTCCTATGCAAAACAACAACGTGAAATCACCACAATTTGCGTCGTCTGCGAACCGAAACCGCGACAGCAAATTATTTTAATTTCCATTTAGAACTCTACGCTTCTTTTCTACGTTATGCTGAAGTTGACACATGCAGCCATTTTTTAAATTCTAATTAAAGGCAGAAATTCATTTTTTAATCGAAGTTTTCCTTGGCGTTGCCGTCCTTACTGCTTAAGGTCCCTAACGACTGAGCGGGAGAGCCGGACAAGGAATTTTTGGCTAGAGGTTATGACGTAGTGACCGAGCTCAACGAGGTTTCTGCTTCATGACCGAGGGCCAAATATTTTCCCGTCCGTCCCGACTATGTTATCATGATATGAATACCAAGAGTTGTAAATTTTTTGGAAATTTGTTTACCTCGAATAGGACTTACTTGTATGCAAAGAAAGGTAGACTCTAGACAATTAGTAAAAACTTTCTACAATCAAAATTTTTCCCTTTTATCTCTGAGTTAGAACAAGAAGCTCATACTTCATCTAATTTCAATTTACGCTCTTGGGAAATGCAAAAGAGCGGTGTGAGTGTGGAGCCGGACGGCTTTTCCGGACCAGCTCACGTGAACCCGTCCGGCATTTCACACGTCAGCTTTTACTATGGTTCTCAATGGGAGTGCGCGCGCGGGGCCGCACAGGTCGTTTTACAACAAAAGTAGTAAGACCGAGGGAGGTTCACTTGGATATCAGAAACCTTCCGATCCTAGCCAGTGGCTGGCGATGATTTAAGCGCCCGAGTTGCGAGTACGAGTTTGAGACCGCTCAAAGCTCCAAAGCACACACAAAAGCGCTGACTTCGCAGGCTAGTGAAGTCTCAGGAAGGACTGTATATGATCAGGAGTTCAATAAGTAATGGCTCCTGATATGAAACATTTTTTTTCTTAAGTTAACCTTCAGTCCTAGAACTTGAGAACATTAAGGGCTAGGTCTTGGTGGTGTAGATCTTAAAAAAAAAAATTAAAAAAAAATAATAAAAATAAAAAAAAAAGGGACAATATCGCTTGAGATCGAATTCCCCCGGCTAGGATGAAACAACTCGGTCTTTTGAAAATCCATTCAAAATTACTTTCTTATAGTATCATACAAGCATCGCGCTATGAGCGCATTGTGAGCCCCGAATAATCGCGAGCTGCGGCTGCTTCCCCATATTTGGCACTGCTTAATTTGGCAACAATTCCAGAATTAATATCGGCTCGTGAAAACAGTACGTAGGCACGAATATCGCTGCTAACTTGTTTATTTTCCTTTTCCATCTCCTACCGGCATTCACATTTTATTGAAAAATCCACTGTTTTAATTTTTGATGGAAGGAATTTCTGTTTCCGGTAGGAAATTCCTCGACGAATGCTCTAATTCGTGCGTGACACAGTGAAGTTAGATCCCTATGATCACCTAGTCTTTTCTCGCCTGTATCCAAGATTTATAACTGAAATTATTTCCTCAACATTACCACAACTACGTTATGTTTCACGACAAAGAAGACGAAGATGCAGAACGTGAAGTATCAGCTAAAGAACAAGTGTTCAAGATCATAATAATCGGCGACAGTGGCGTCGGAAAGACTTGCCTCGCTCATCGATTTTCCACGGGGAAATTTCCTGAAAGGACAGAAGCAACAATTGGGGTTGACTTCTGGGAGAGATCGCTTACAATAAACGGGTCGAGCGTTCGGGTGAGTTGAAATGCTTATTCCAGCAGGTCTTCTTGCGGTTCTTTGTGCTTGTGGATTAATTCCTTTTTAAAATCTCTCACAATTCACGTCTATTTCGTGTACTTGGAATGTCACGTCTTGATTTCTATCTTGTTCGGTGTTTCTCGATAAAGTTTCAGGATACATGCATGCATTAACATAGGAAACAATACACTTGGTGCAATTACTCATAAGACGTGAATGGATAGATCTTGCAACATGGATCAACCAATTATTCTTATAAAGCATTAGAGATGAGTAGCTTTCAATAATCCACTTTAATAATAAATTGTTTAGATTCCAAACCAACCAGAAGAACATTAAATATGCTGCATCAACAGCAATAATTGTTATCAAGTGCCTTTCGAACTGAGATTCACCCAGATGGAAGGATAGACAGCCTGCTTGAATTATTTGTGCTAAAATTAAAGGTGCATGGAAGATCCTTAGCCAGGGGAGATTTCACTGCTCCTCACCATCCCAGATTGTGCCAATATTCCACAAGGAAATTGCTAGGTATCTGTTGGTTCGAAATTTGGTTCAGACTGACTCCATCAATAAGCATATCATGACTACCACTTTATATCTTATTCAAGATTTTCTTTTGTTTCATGAATATGGCTGTCAGTGCCTATGGGCAAGATGAAGCAAATCTTGTGTTCTACTCTTGTGTTGCTACTCTCACCTACTTTTGGACAATTTTGGCTATGGAGTCATATAAAATGGCAGAAGGCAATCTAAACAAAGAAAAAATAAACAATTTTTGTGAGTTTATTGTGCTAAAAAAAAACTGGCATTTTCCCAGCACTTGAAAATAATCAAGTCATTCTTGATTCTTAAATCTTTTTGCTTTATAATAAATTGTTTATCATCCAGTCATCTTGACCTCATGCTTGGTCAATGATAAATGTACATTTTATCCATCCTGCATCTCAGTTCACAAGCTTTTTTGGCTTTTTACAGCCTTGCAAGCACTCATTTATGGCCTTCTTATGGCAATTTTTCTATAATTTTTTATCATCAACAACTCTCTGGGACATACATTTCATACTAAAATGACTAAACTTTTAATGTGATTGGTTGCAGTTACAAATATGGGACACTGCTGGTCAAGAGAGATTTCGTAAAAGCATGGTTGTTCATTACTACAGGAATGTGAGTGCTGTTATTTTCATGTACGACATCACAAGGGAAGGCTCATTCAGGGCTTTAGAAACCTGGTTACAGGAATATGATCATTATGGACTCACTGAAATTGATGGTGAGGGCTGCTCAGTTCCGAAACTTATGATTGGTAACAAATGCGATCTTATTCATGAGAGAACAATCAATTCAAACGAAGCAAGAAAATTTGCTGATCTTCACAATATGCCAATGTGGGAAATTTCAACCAAGAATGATGAAGAACTGGAGACAATTGAGTCCATCTTTATAACTCTTGCTCACAAACTCGTTAAGTCCAAAACTTTTATGGATCGGCCACTTCGTTATACAAGTGAAGATTCCAATAGCCAGAGCACCAAATCAAAAACTAGATCAGGAAGATTCAGAGGTTCACAGAAGAGAATTAAACTCAAGAATCAGTCAGGAGAACACAGGAAAAATTGTTGTGAATCCACGTAAATTGAGACTTTGAGTTAAGTTTGCTTTCAGGCTCTGAAGTTTGCAATAGTTTTAGGTTGTAAAAATTTAATACTTGTGCTATGAAGTGTCAAGCAGAAAAAATATTTCCTTTCAATGTTCCAAATTCAGGGTTCATATTCACAGTAACATTGTTGTGGGGTTGTCTGTTTTTGTTAGCTGGGGTTATAATTAAAGGCTATCTTAAGATTTGCCTTTGATTTCTGAGTAAAAATTATCTCATTGTGACTATGTGAAATAATAAGCATTCACAGGCAAGTGAACCTAGATCACCATTCACTGGTGATTGACTGTTTAATAATTTGAATGTTCAGTGTGAGCATGATTTATGTCAAACCACATGGTCCAGTTAATTAAAAAGGCTTTCTTAGGTTACAGTTTGAGTCCATTATGGGATCTCAATATTTCAAGTGTGGTGAAGGGGACTATATTATGGGTCACTGAAGAACTCAAATGTTTTATTTAGCAATAACTGTTAAGCTTCCTTTAATTTTTTTCTCAAAAATCCATGTCTTTTTTTTTAACTCAAGAATAAAAATTCAATGTTGTTCAGGCTGCTGAACCTTTTTGAAATAACTGGCCCAATATTTCTCTTTGATTGGTACACTGAAACAAGAACTTACCATAATTCTATTACTACTTTGTGTTTATCTTGAAATCAAACTTCCATCTTTTTTTTAATTATGCCACCAAAAACATTAGTTTACAGATAAAAGGAATAGTGCTATTGCATGAAACAGATATACAAATAAGCTGCAGGACATGATTTAGTATTCAGTACACCAATAGCACAAACAGTTTAATTGATTAACATGTAAATAACTCTCACATTAGATTTCAAAACAAGTTATCATTCCAGTGGAGATTTACAGATTATGTTAATTGTTTTACTAGATAATCTCCAATATGTCTTTGGATTTTTCCCTAAAAGTAAGAATTGTATGCTTGAAACTGTATGCTTTTAATAATAAAATTAACCTAGAGATATTTAGTAATTTCACTTCCCCCTAAAAAATCAATATATAATTTCTAGAAGTCAGTTGTGGAGAATAAAGGAAAATATCATGCAGGAGACATAATTTGATTGAACACTGCATTCTCAGTACTGACATTATAAGAAATATTTTCAGACAGTAGGGAGAATTGATGAAAGAGTTTTTGGGGATTTGAAAAAGTTAGGTGCTCCTTGCATTAACAAATTGTTGTTTGTTGGTAATAATAGCTTCATCTTTATAAGTAATATATCACTTCCTAATATGAAGTAACTCAGGTAATGCTATGTTATATTTACATTGTAGATTTTATACTATTGGTGCTGCTCAAAAGTATAAATAACCATCAACAAAGATCAAATAAAAATTATTGTCAATAATTACATATTTCATAAATGAAATTTCAAAAGGAGTAACCATGAGAGTTGAATTAAAAGATTAAATCCATTGCATATGTATCATAGCTATTTAGGAAATTATAAATTTGTTTTAATTAAATGATTTGCCATGCTCTTGACTTGATTGATGTCTCCTTGTTGCCACATTAACCCCTCTTTGTCTCATCACCCCCTTCCCTCTCCCCACCCTCAGCATTTTCAGTCCCAATGGTCACTTTCTGTCAACTGATTTTAGGGAGTATAGTTTGTTTCTCATCTCATCTGTTTAATTTTCATTCTTCAATCCCTAGAAATGCTAAGCGAGATCTTACAAGCAATCCTTTAGTGCCGTTTCACCTCAAAATGGAACTGATGAGTGTTGATAACTGAATGCAGCATATAGGGTGTAAGCCACAATTATTTTATTCAAAATGATTTTGTTTGTATCTTACTGAATTTAAGGTACTAAACAAGCAACATCGCTCTCCAGGCAGGTCATTTTTTTCTTAACTTGGGTAAACAACGTGAACGAGACATTAAAATCTTAGAGGAGAAATAAAAACGCCCAGGCGGCAACATTAGTCTGAGAAGGAACAAGGTCGACTTAAAGGCGGGAGAGGATTGATATAGATCAGGAATGGCGATTTTACGCTTAAGTCCCCGAGATGTATTTAGTGTGACATGCTTCTTTAACCACGAGCGCAAAAATCGGAAAGACCTTAAGGGCGCAAAAGTATTGCTTTTAAGATCGTGTAAATATTCCGGTTAAACAGGAGACGTTAGTTTCAGATTGGAAATGTTTGTGGTTATATTTTGATTAGAATCAGGGGTTAGTTTTCAGTTTCCCATAGGGAAGTTTTCAGTCGTGCGGCCAAAATAGCACGATAAACAAATAAAAAATTCCCATTTGCGATGGAAATACTTTCTCAGTAACGAAACCGGAAACGGAACTCAACGAAACTGAAAGGAACGTGCCGGAAGTCGACGCCAGAGACACGGAGTTGTTATTTTATGACGTCATGTAGGGCTTGTCCAATCAAAACAATTGAAAACAATGCTTCTAGTACTCTCGCGCGTGATTGTACAGCATGTAATCTGCTAAATTTATCGAAGTAAATTTTACTTTTATGCGTTGGTTTTTCCCTGTCGATTCATCAGTGCTCTACCAACTATCGTTTAACTGGCGGAATATACTAGAACGTAGATCGATCTGAATATTTCAAACATCAAAGCGATCTAAACTCAAGAAACTTCGCACGTGAAATGGATGACTACAGCTATCTTTTCAAAATCATCTTGATTGGAGATGCAAACGTCGGAAAAACATGCTTGGTGAAGAGATTTGCTAAAGGTTTCTTTACACCTTCTCAGGGCCCTACAATCGGCGTGGATTTCACGATACGAACTGTAGAAGTCGATGGTGAAAAAGTTAAGGTATAACACTTGTTTGTCGGTGTTGCTGAAGCAAAGCTGTAACATAAAAAGACTCGATTTCGAAAGCTGCTCGCATTTTTTTTTTTTTTGCATTTCGTCACTACATATTTTCCTAAATTAAATGATGATTTTGGCAACTTTCAATCATGTGTCTAAGTATAAACTTGTTTCTTTCGTATTTTCAATTGTTTCCAGTTCAAGCTCGATTCAAGAGTGAAATTTAACATTGCCCGCTTTCGTGAGCGGCATCGGTTTTGTTTTTCATTTTCAAACCACAATATTTATGAATTAAATGATGATAATCGTTTCCTCGACGTCCGATAAGAAAGCGACGTTCAATGAAAAACATTATTCAACGATACTATGAATTTTTTTTTCTTTTTTCGAAGATTTTAAACAGCTGTCTTTCTTGGAAAGTACGTGCGTGTTTGATCCATTGTAATATGCAATTTGCGCCTACGTTTCAACTGCTTTTTGCTGGTAATTTCGTTGACTGGGTGTTAGAAATCGAAAATTCCTCAGATCATTTCCTCTTAATAAATTCGTCCTCTGTTGATTTACAGAATACAAATGAGTTCTTGAAGTTCGAGGATGTGATCATGCCCATTTTTAAAACGTAGATTTAACTTCCATTATTAAATGCGCAGTAAAACCACAACATTGTCAGTGTGGAAAATAAGTTGAAACTTTTTCCCAAGTAGATTGCGTGAATAAAACCCTAGCTCATTTACAACTTGCTAAATTTCGTTTTGGGAATACAGTAATAGAGAGACTTCCGCTCGGAAACGCGTACATTCAATTACAATCATTTGTTTTCCATTTACCTTTAGTTTTGGTACTTTTCCCACTTTCTGTTTCATTTGCATTAGCTTTAGCCGGTGTCATGTGAAATTTTTAATTTTCGCCTAGATATTTAGGTGTTAGATATGATAGATAATTCTGTTTCACTTTATATGAGTTGCCAGCTGAATTGTTATCCATTAAGTGATGAGCCTTCAAAATCGGAAGTCCTCGCTTCGTTGTTGGAAAACATAAGCGTAAAAAAGAAAGCTGAAACAAAAAAAAGGTGTTACTACTCAAAAAAGAAAACTTTACGTCCTGATCTCAAGCTATAATTCATCGGCTTACTGATTAAGAAGCATGTGAAATTTTTAGGCCTGAATAAATCTTGAACCTGTGAGACTGTGCATTATTTAGGCCTCAAATTAAAAGAGTTAACAATGAAATATTTAAAATTTTTTTTTTCAAATAAGTTAACTTGTGGTGAAAAATTTTTTTCATGACCTTTAACTCCTTAGAGTGACTAACACCTAATATCTCTATACATTATCTTAACTGGATCAGACATAAAGATTACCAGAATACAGGAATTGATCAGCCAATCAAAAAGCTCCTGATTGTGAAAGAAATTCACTTTGTCAGTTGTAAAGAGAACAGTATATTCAACAAAATATTCTTCCCGATATTAAGGCGTAAAGGGTTAGTCTCTTGTTATTTTCATTCCTGTTATACATTTATTGATTTATTTATTTTATATTTGTAGCTGCAAGTATGGGATACTGCAGGCCAAGAACGCTTCCGTTCTGTCACACAGAGTTACTACCACAATGCAGATGGAGTCATTGTAACATATGATATCACCAATCGAAAATCATTCGACAACTTGCAACAACATTGGCTTGATGACGTCCATAGATTTACAAGCAAGAAAGTGCTTATGTATATGGTAGGGAACAAGTGTGATTTGTCACAAGAGAGAGAAGTGGATTTTGGGAGTGTGCAAATGATTGCAGAACAAGAAAACTGTATTGCCATGGAAACATCTGCCAAAGAAGCAGACAATGTAGAGGACTTGTTTATGAGTTTAGCTACACAGTTGAAGAGAAATGTTAAAAATGTGGAGGGTAACGAAACAAAAGACAATCCAACTGCTGACGAGAATGGCACTACTGGGGTTAACCTTGGAGGCCATTCAATTTGTGCGCGGGGACCCCTCTCTTGTTGTAGAGTATAGAAATATTGACAGCATTAAAGATTCAAAAAACATGGATTAAAAAACTCAACAAATTCCAAACCATCCCAAGAAAGGAAAGACTTTTATGTTATTTAGGAAAGAGTTCAATAACAACATTTACAATTTTGCAAATTTTACCATAGTGGGAAGAATTAAACTTCTCTGTTTATGATATTAAGTACAAAAGTATATTGGGCATCATGACCGCCTCTCCCAAAAAAATCACTCATAATTTTCAAAAAGATTCTAGTATGTGAAATGAACCCCATAATTTATAGAAATATTGATATTATAGTCACACAAAACAAGTAGACAAGTTTTCATACCAGATTCAGTCAAATATATATCAATTGTTAAAGGGAAAAGATCATGTATATATTGTATAAAATTAGTTGGTGAGGAACATTTGTATTCAATTATATTTTTCTGTATAAATGACAATTTTCTGCAAAGGATTATTAAATATCTTTCCAAGTGAAGCTACATTACAACTGTAAAATATTTCTTTTTTTGCAATCTGAGTGGAACATTACCTTCTTAGGTCATTTAACTGAAAATTAATTATCTTTTTCTAAAGTCAACAATTTTTAGATCCTTTTAACCCTTTCCCAAGATCTCATTAGTAACTCTCCTTACTGTCTGCAATATAGTTCTTCTGATGTTAGTTTGGAGAATTTGATATTAGATCAACTAATAATCCCCTAAATAAAATTTTTCTTGATTCTCATTACTTGTCACCTTGATATTGTATTGATAATGTAAGAAGAAATTCTGTCTTGGTCACTCATGGGAGTTAAAGGGTTAATATGAAAGGTTAAGTTTTTCTTATAACTTCCAATATGTACCTCATGACCTGGCAAATCTTTTCAGAAATAAAGACATGATGTAAAAGTGGTTTTAGTTTCTTAATAAATGTAATGATTTACTATGAAGACGAATTGCCACATTCTCTCTTTTTTCTTTTCATGTAGTTGTCAAAAAATAATTGGCTGCTTGTCTCACCATTATGCTCATGAGCTCTCACATTCTAATTCTTTTTACTGTCTACTATTCTGTTCTCATGATACTCATGATGAGAATTTAGTGAGAAATCAAACAAACTTCCATCACTTGATTCTCTCTTTTCTTCTTATCCCTTCTCAGCCTGATGGGGTACAAACAATTTTAGGAGAAATAACTTCCAGGTCACATTCAGTAGTGAAAGCAATAACACTTGACTCCTTAGAGCAATAGCATTTATGATATCTAATTTGTTTCACAATATAATCCATGAATCACACATTTTTGCCAACCTTTAAGGCTGAGCTTGATTTTTAAGTAAATTCTCTTTAGTGGCACCATAGGAAATGTATCGAGAACAGTATGGAGAATATGCATGCTGATAGTGAAAAGGGTTGAATTGAGCATAATGACAGCCTCTCTAGATTAGTGTTGCAAACAAATGTCTGCTAGCCACATCTTAACTTGATAGTTTCATGCAAAACCTGATGATGAGGCAAACAAAAAAATTCTGAGCGAAGGATATACATATATTTGATTTATTGGAAAAATAATTTGAGCATGAGATTCCGTCGTCAAAGGAGGCCGGTGGATAATCTGGACGTGGTGAATCTTTATAGACTGGGACCTACGTATGCTCTGATTGGATTATTGTAAATGGGCGCCATTTTAGATTTTCTGAATTTGAATTAAGAGGTAAACAGTAAGTTTACGATGGAAATTCGAAGGTTATATCAGTGGTGGTGTTAATGGCAACACAAAGTGTGTTTGTTCTGGCAAATGTCCTCTCCATACGCGACAAATTCTGCTATCCTTGTTGTACTCGGTGTCGTAAGAAAGTCCACACTCGAGAGAATGAAATGATGTGAGTTTGTTGTCGTCTGAACACTTTTTTTTTACTTATTTTGATCGGTAAAATTTCCGCACAGCCCCATACTACATTATGCATTCAGTTCTTGGATAGAGAAATTAATGACAAAAACAGTGGATTGCCATTGGGAAAACAGATTTGTTTTACAATAGTATGGGGCTGTGCGGAAATTTTACCTTTTGATCTTATGATGTAGTGCATTACGCTTTAAAAATTATCTCTTGCGATCTTTACATAAAGTACCGGTAAGATACGTAGCTACGATCGCCTCAAGTAAAATAAGATTGCACAACAGTACGTACACGAGTAGTGCTTCAAATTATACACCTTCCAACTGGTACGGTATGTTGTGCCTATTTATGGTAGTCTCGTTTATACTAGAGGGCCATTTCTTCTCCTTTCCCAAGTTCACCTGCACTTTTTAATTCCTTCCCTGGAATGAAAAATAAACTAATATACTTATTTTGGCATGAACTACTTTAAAAATGTGACAACATTGTCCTCAGACTTATAAATTCCCCTCCCCCCCCTCCTGATGCGATCATGGTAGCTTACTGTTCCTTTTTAGATTCTGTTGTGAAGCATGCAGGGAGATGTACAGTGTAGAAAGCATTCAATATCGATACAGGATTAGTGTGATGGCATCAGACAGAACACAGCTGGTGCAGGTCACAGTTTTCGGAAGCTGTCTGGACAGGTTTTTTGGGACGTCTGCAACAAGCTTTATGAGGTTTGGCTGTAAACTTTGTAATGCATTTTATCTTCAAGTTCTGGGGGTCAGTTATGCAAACCATGAATTCCTAGTTCTGATTGATTGGTATTTAAATGATTTGCAAACTCCAATCATCATGGGTTCACCTTTGGACAACTGGTGCAACCCAGTTGAAATATATAGATCTTGTTACTGTGCTACTTGAATATAGCACCAAAAGAGACCAAAATTGACACCAAGTTCTCTAGTAGATCATCATGACTTGTGTGCCCTGCAAATTAACTCCAAATGGTTCCTGTTTTCAAGTTTCATTGTTACCCTAACATCAGTATGCTTAATGTTCTGTATACATTTCTTAAGGTGAAGAAGAGAAGAATTTGTGTAACAATCAATAGTTTCTTTATTTAGTGATCACTTCCTTCATTTTATTGAAAGGAGAAATTAGATGCTTGTCACTCCAAAGGGTTAAAGAGGTAATGTATTTGTGGGTGTGTAAGCTTGAAAGTTCAGGAGATTTACTTTTTACTTTTTAAGATCTCTTAACTACTTTATTACAGGGCTATTCCTGTTATTCAGGTAGTAAAATAGGCTCATAGTTATATTTTTTAGTCCTTGCTAATGAAAGTGTTTTTCTCTATTTCAGGCTGGTGACCAGTTTATCTGCTGTACCCTCTACCATCCCATGGAGTCGTGTTGTGTACCAAGCCATGGAACAATGCTTTGTGGGGTCTCTATTGCACTTTGGCTTCAGGGTCTATCCACTCTGCCGGACAGGCTCACAAATATCTCGCAGCTCTCCAGTTCACCTTAAGAACGTTGTTGGTAGGATACCAAAATCAGACAATACCAGACACCAAGCAGGGGAACTTCCTAGCCTTTTAGCCTGTCAGGTGTTACCCTTGTCAGAGCAGAGTCCTACAGTGATGCAAATATTGAATGAGTATTTAGATGAGTTACAAAGAATTACCCACACCCCATACTCATTAAGTCCAATAACCTCTCAGCAATCTTTATTGCTGGACTCTCAGGCAAGTTGCAAAGTTCCAAGGTGCTCTTCATCCCACAAAAGAGCATCATCTATATACTGCTCACCACATGAGTTTGGCTCCATGAACACACCTCTGGTTCTCACAGGCCTCTCTCAATCTCCCTCTGGCAGTGCTCCAACACATGACCGTGAGCTTGCAACCAACAGCAAGGAGAGAAGGAAATTTCAGCGACCCCTGTTAGGTAAAGAGTCTACAAATGAGTACTATAACATTTAATATCTCCTTACAATATCACCCCTGAATCAAATATTAAGGTCAAGGGAAATTAACACTAAGATTAAAGGAAATGATTACTTACCAGAGAAGCTCTTAATTATTAACCAAATTCTCCTAGTTAGCACCATAGGAATGTATAGAGAACAGTATGGAGAATATACATACTGATGATGTTAGTCCAATGACGGTGACCCGTTAACGACAAACTCGTCGTCCACATGAATCTTTCATTTTGACGATGGCAAAAAAATTATTTTCCTCTCACCGTTTTCAGGAAAAATTGGTTCATCTTTAACTGCAAACGACAACAGCAACGAAAAAAGGCCGCACACTTCTGATCAGATACAGCCATTTACACCAGGAATTGTGCAATCATTAAAACTTAACTCAAACGGTGATGAAGACTTAACTGATCTCCATCTTTCGGTGACATGGCAGGAATATGATGACTTTCCGTCATCGGAGGATCTGAGCGCATTTTTAGCCGATTTGGAAAAGGACGCTTTCAATAGAGACGATAGACAGCCACTGCAGGCCCTCAACTCCGGGAAACCCGAAAGTCCTTTACAATCCTTGTATCCAGATGCAACGTTTGGAGAAGTTGTAAATGAGTGTTACTTGCTTAACTCTTCACGCACAAGAGATTACACAGAATTCACTGATTTTCCTTCCTCTGAGGATTTGGAAGTATTTTTGGCTGATATGGAGCTCGACCACGGAAGTATGCTGATACGGAAACCTTTAACACCGAATATAACCATGGTATCTACCACGCAAAGAGATGTTATAGTATCGTCTAGGGCGAATTATTCGCCCTGGAATGACATCACTTACAACTCTAAAGGCTCTGATTCGCAATTTTTGCGAGACTGTGAGACTGTTTTCGCCGAGGTGACGGGAAATAACAATACTGAGAGCATCAGAGTTGAAAGCAAAGCTGTTTGTCTTTGGCCTAAAAGTTTAATCCCGAACGGTGGACGAGATGAAAACCGAACCAACGCTGGAGAAATTGGTGAATATGACATCAATTGCACCACACTCACAAGGTTTCATTATAAGAATAAAGCACAAGACTGTAATACCGTGGGCGACTCAAGAGCCAACCAAACCAACGACGAAAAGTGTACATCTATTGAGCATTGTAGTTACAGTGATATGTCGGTGTTAAATGATAGTTGTGACATTTTGTCCACCGCATCTATGACTCCTGATTTATTTACTCAGTCGCTCTGTTCCTCAGAGCGTGCATCTGGAACCCCAGATCTTTTCACAAGACCAAGACGGCGAAACGTCAAATTCCATTCTCGGTGCGCGCACCACAACATTGCGCCTGACTCGTTTTCATCCGAAGGAAGTTTCAGGGATTGCACTGACTCATGCAGTATACACGAGCTGAATTCCATGTCTCTGTTCTCAAGTTCTGACAGTTCTTTTATCTCACCTGCTTCTTCACCTTTGCGTCGCACTGGCCAAGGAGCCTCGTGTCTAAGTTCGGCTCACGGAACCGAGGCTGCCTCCCTGTCAAACCCTGGGCAAGCTGATACTGGAAACGAGTTTGACACGGATTCAATGGCTACCAGTTTCCATTCAACACCTTACACCATTTGTAGTCACTCCAAGTTGTTAAGGAAATCATTGACCCCACTTCAAATGTCTCCGTTTCCATCCTACTCAGGATCAAAATCCTGTCGTGATAACAGTTGCCAAGGAACACCAGTTCTCTTCTCGCAGATCTCCAACGACAGTTTGTGAAATTTACAAATTACTCACGACTCTCCACGATTTCAAGAGTAAATATGTTAGTAACACATTTTGATCTAGTATGGCAAACAAAGCCAAAATACCAAATCAGAACCTAGAGAAATTTTCAATTGAGTGTCGATAGAATTCTGGGAATGCATTGGTTTTGCTTTACTTTTCTCTGTGATTGGTCCAGAAAACTCGCGCTACTCTCTCAACCAATCATATGCAAAACTAACACTGATCACGACTTGGTCGCCCGCGTTTTCCCGCGCTTTAGACGGTTTGCTTGTTTTTCCTTTGAGTTCTAATTGGCTCTTTTTTAAGGTAATTTTCCCTTCTTCTGATTAACCATAGTAATCACGTTGGTTGTGGTTACACGACACTCAATCGGAAAGTGCTCTGCAGCTACAGAGAATCGAAAGTATAAACAAGCAAACTGGGCGAATGGCAGTTAGTAAAGGAGACGGACCCGTAACGCTTTCTAATTAGCTAAGAACACAAAACCAACCTAACAATGAAACAAAAAGAAGCCTTCAAGGTTCAAAAATCACGATTCGTTTTGCAGTACGCAGACTTTTTCAAGGAAGGCACTGTAGGTAAGGACCATCTGGAATGCTTTCCTTCTGATGTCAACTCTTTATTTAGGATATTTTTCCTATAAAACTCAATGTGACGGCTCTGACAATATAGACCGAAATGTCTTTGAACACAGCAAACTCAACTGGGGGTTTTCAATGTCCCTGTTCTTATGAAAATATTTATCTTGATTTATTCGTCAAATACATAAATAAATAATCTTGAAACCGTGCACTTCATTGAAGCAATCTATGAAAAGAGCATGTGTTTTTTTTTTCGCTTTGATTTTTGTGGCTAATCAGGTCATTTCAGGTTTCACGAGGTCATCTGTTCCAACCAAGCATTCATTGTGCTTCGTGATTTATGGTCTCATCCGCTTCTCGCTTGTCCACGAAAAACTGAAAGAGGCGAAAAAGAGCTGCTGAATTAAATAACTACCAGCTGCAAAGTTTGTGGCTTAAATCTTTCAATTCCCCTCTCGCGATACATCGAGATCATCCTCATCGTTTCACCGTCCTTTTCTCGGTTCATTATTGAACCGGCATTCAACTTCAAGCTGAATGCCGCGACGTGCCCCTTTTCAAAGGGATGTAAGCTACAGGAACCACATCATTCCTGTCTCACCTTTAAAAAGTGTGATGGTGAATTACATCGAAATTAGAACACTGACCGCCCTTTGAGATTCCATAGACTACCCTGACCCTTAGCAGCTTGTCTTAAAAGGTGATAAAAATTCGACTAAGGGCCCCGCCATTTTGAATCTCGCTTAGCAACCTTGTCGCTTACTTAGGATGTACCAACACATGACGATTTGCTTTAACAAATAGAAGCTACAAAAAAAAGGTTCTCTGGAATCAAATAATGACTTTATTAGGCAATTGAGATTGAAAGCTTCTATTTCCAATTTATCTTAGGGTCATTCTTGGAGAAATCCTCAGCCATACGCATTGACACGGCTGGGAAGACGAACGATCTTCTAAACGAGTTTGGAACTTTCATTAGAGACTGGTAACACTCACCTTTCACCCACGGATCAATAGCTTACCTTGCGAATGGCAGCAAATGCAGAACCAAAGCGAGGCTGGTGCTGAAGTCGGTTTGAAATCCAGCCTGGAAGACTTTTCTGTATTCTAGTAGAACCATACCGCTGATCAAGTAACAGGATTGTCGCATAGTCTCGTTTGTGACGAATAGCGCGACCTAAAGACGGATTTTGAACAAAGATACATTCTCAGATACATCGGACGGACTCTTGATGAATTTTGTTTGTGTTCCATTGTAACAAGGCAAAGCTCAGGTTTGTTAACAGATAATAAAGTTTTGCCTCACCTATTGACTGGTTTACTGCTTTCATGCAAAGGCTTTCGTAATGCATTTGACCAGCTTTTGGCTAGGAAAAAGCAAACATAGACCAAAATGATAATGGTAAACAACAGAGATATTGAACTGCCCTGAGAAAAAAGGAAATTTAGGTAAATGGAGAAGGACTTTGAGCTCTGATTTGATTTGTTGTATGCGGTTAAGTAACGGTCAATACAAAGGGAATAGCGAATAGCGAGTTACGTCATCAAGAAGACGCCGCGTAGCGCACCGCAAAAAAAAATGAACGGGAATTTATTGGACGCAGAGAGAAAACCGTTAGAAAACATCGAAAGCTGCTCTCCATTAACGTCTGAGTTGGAGTGGCAGCCGTTATCGGAAGCGCAGAGCAATACGATCCGGTGAAAATCAAACCAATGGAATCCGGAAGCAGAGTACACTCCGTCGCTTGTGATCTGTGAAAACTAAATTGTGCGCCATTCAACTCATTACATACTTAAGACAAGTTCATTGGCGTCTGAGTCATGAGCAAAACCGGAAGAAAATGGAACCGTATTGATTCTTTTCACTCCACTTCCGTAAAGCTTATAATTTCACTCACGCGTCGGATTTTCAAGAATTTTCATTAAATCGGGAGTCCGAATACCACCCCGTCGCTACTGAAAAACAGCCTGAAGGTCTTTACAGATGAACTCTTACCCCTAAAGTTGCATCAAGATATGTCATTTTCTCCTTTAATTCAGGTGAGTAGATATTTGGATAAGGCAGTCCCACCATGACCACACACCTAGTGTACAAAGACAGCAATGTTTCGAAAATAGTTTGATTCATGCCTACCCGACCAAGCCTCCCCCCCCCCCCCTTCCCGGCCAACAAAAGGTGCCCTAATGTACACCCAGATTAAGATCGTGTGATTGTAAAACAGGACATGTTCGATGATTGGACACGAGGCATGAAGGCTGGTTCAAGTAAGGGAGATAGGAACTTCCAGGTCGACTTTACAATTGGCATTGTAAAGATATAAAGCTAGTCTTGTTTTCACCCAAAGATCATAATCACGTCAGTTCGTTTTCTCATGATATCGTCGCAAAAGTTAAAGCAATTTCTCGTGGGAGCTTTCTGTTCATTCTTCATTCTCTTTTTTTTTTAAGTACCAGCGAGCTTTGACCTCCCACATTCGACCCAGTCTTCCTGGATTTCGCGTTCAGGCATGTCGCACATTGTCCTTTTTAAGCTCGAGAATACTATAAATCACTTTTGGAGCAGGCGTCGAAGTTGGCGCGAGTGTTTTAAGGCAGCGCGTAGGATCAACAAAATAAGCCCAAAACTCTCTTTATCAGAATTCCCACACGCAAACCGCCAGGCCTCCGTGTTTCTTTATCTCGCCAAATTACGGTCAAACCGCAAGCAGTCTTTTTTTTTTCTCTTGAGGGAGAGCGAGATTTATCTTTGCGATATGGAGCGATGACTTTGGACAAGAAGGGATTGGGGTAGATGCGATTGTACAGGGCGTGTCTCGGCCTCGTCAGAAAAGCTAATCCTTCCTGGCCTCACTACACCGTGCGTCTTCTTTTCATTCACACTCGTAAGACCACAAGGAACCAAAAAAAAAAGATTAGTTATGGTACTCTAAAATACGGTTCCTGTTTTCAAGAAATGGATAAATAATTGGAAACATGCCTTCCAAGATCGTCAGAAAAGTTGATCCCTTCACTCATCTTTCCTCCGACCACACAGAACAACACCGCGCCATTTGGAGATGTGTTGTTGGCGACTACGGCTGGCTTCTATGAATGAAAAAAGATAAAGATGATTTTAGTATTCCTCCAGGTTTTCATTACGCCTAGATACAAAGAACGGGGCTTTTTAGTTTCCATCGTAAAATTCTATGGAATCAGAAGAAATCTAGGGAAATCTTCGGGGGCATTTTTCAGGAAAAAAAATAGTCCTGTTTTCCATATCGTCTCGAGAAGAATTAAGTCTAAAAGCATTAAAGACCTCTCAACGACTTGCATTGCTCATAGCATCATACTTTTCTTCTAGTGAATACTCGTGTCCAAGTGCTTAAAATGAGGACCCTGCCACTCGCTTGAGTTTACCCAGAGGTGAGGAATTTTTTCGAGCGTAAGATTTGTCCGATTGTATCCGACGACAGGGAGAATATTTTGTTTCCGGAGGGGGGGGGGGGCAACACTTACTGATATTATAAAATATTCCTAGAAAAAAAAGGAGTTTATTCGTCTTGATTCTACTTGTTACTTCAAGTGCTAACCTTGATACAAGCTGCGTACGACGAAAGAACCTGATCAAGCTGACTAGACTTGCGTGGTTCTCTAAAGACCTGAGATATATGAAGAAATCCTTTTAAATGTTTGGGTGTAAAAAAGAAGAAGAAATCAAAAAAGAACGAAAATAAGAAATAAAAGATAACAACAAAATGCTAGGAAATCCTTAAACCACCTTCTTTCGGGTGTTCATTTTCTCAAGAATGCCAGATTCCTGCCAGTATTTGCAGACTTTCTCTCCATAATCATACGAAGAGAAAAAACACACCACTCCTCCGGGGACAACGGCAAAAATATTGAGTAGAAGTCGTCCCAGTTCTTCTTTCTAAAGGAAACCGACAAAAAAAAGTACCATTAGTTTTGTTTGACAGTTTGTCAGCTCCAGGAAATGATTAAAAAAAAAAAATGAAAAATGTAACCAGACGAAAAATAAACTTAATTTTTTTATTTATTTTTTTTTTTTAACAGCCCTAAAAAAAAATTTTTTTTCTTGACAGTAAAAAAGAAAGAGTAATACATGTAATAACCCAAGCGAAAAATGCGAAAAAAGAAAAAACGAAACAAAAACAGCAAAAAAAAAAAAAAAAAAAAAAAAAAAAAAAGGAAAAGAAAAAGAATGACAGGGTCGAGTTCGACTATCTTGGTCGGGCTGTGAGCAACCGCCTATTCACAGGTGCTATCCCACTACTGTTTGACGCGGGAGCTTTTGCCTGCTGTGTTTCCACCCTGGGCCGGTTCGCTCCTCTTTAACCAACCTGGAGAACTCAGATTCCTCTGTGTTCACCATATTGACGCCAAACTTAGCGCGGACACCCGATCTACATAGAACGACTACCCCCAGGAATCCCGCCCTCAAGCCATTCAGCGACCCCAGCCTCCAAGTAGCTGGATTACAGACGTGCGCCACTACGCCCGGCTGATTATTACATGTGAAAATTTAACTACTGACTGGTGGACAGCCACGCTCTAAAAGACCGGAAGTCAAAATCAGCATTATACTTCCGGTAAGCGTAAATACAAAATGGCGGAGTCACTTAGCTTAATTCTTACGAAAATCTTCGAAATAACATCGAAACAACGACAACTCGAATTTAATCTTTTAGAATATACCTTTTTTCTTAAACTTGTAGCTGTTTCTCTCCATGATAATATGGAAAATAATTTAAATATCGCCGATTTCATGGCAAAAATTCAGTGATTTGCATCACCGCAGCGCCTACCAATTTTTCTGAGTCTCTCGACTGGTAAGTAAAATCAAGGTCTTTTCCAGAGGGTCCTTTATCCAACGCTACAGCGAGCAAATGATCTGCTGGAATAACATGCCCTGAGAAGATAAAAAAAAGAATGCTCTTAGTCCATAATAAATGTTACAGCTTTGCTTCAATACCAAAAGGCACAATGTCGTACTCTAAGGAAAATTCAATTGACTTACCACAGGAAAATTCCACTATATTGTCACCGGAGAGTCCAGCGCAAGTAAAGAGTTGATCTTTAAAATCTGACATCTACGACGAATAAGACAGATGTTATGCCTTGTTAAATTACAATTTCGTCATTGACAAATAAGTGATATAAAAAATTTTTGTCTCCGTTGTAACCTAGAAAGAATATCAGGGAGCTGGCTACTTCAGTTGAAATAAGTAGAACTGAGGGGCAGTTTCACATGTAACTAACTTCCACTGAGTTCATCAACCAACCTAAATTTTGATCTTTTTCCTTTTTCAAAATGAAGAAAATTTCAGATATTGATTTTACAGTTAATTGGAAATATAGTCCAACAGCAGGAATCTAAACCTGGTAACAATCATGTTGACCCTCTGAATGACCAAAAAGAAAAATTTCTCTTACCATAACAATATTTTTTGAAGCAGGAAGATGATAATAACATAAAAAAAACATCAATTATGAGATATAATTTGTTTTAACACAAATTGTCAGAGATTAAACTATGGAATAGAGTAGATATAGTGATTTGGGGAGAGACTGGGTTAACTCTTCACACCCTATCATCAGTATCTATATTCTCTATACTTTTCTCTATACATTTCCTAAGGTATTTAAAATGAGAATTTTGTTTACCAACCAAGAGCTTTTTTTTTACTTGGTGATCATTTCCTTTATTCTTGTAACCTTATTGTGTGATTCTGGGGTGATATGGTAAGGAGAAATTAGGTACTAGTCACTCTTAAGATCAAAAAGGCACAGCAAGGATACCACAGTTAATTACCGGTTGCATTGTTCCCCCTGCAACAACAACTGCTCTGGCTTCTTTGACGATAGTTGTGAAGTGGACTGCAGGGTTCAAAAGGAGAAACTTCAGACTGGAGTTACTGGGTCGCTCTGGTGGGAGAAAATATAAAGTGCGCAGGCAATCTAGGTAAGTAAAGTACACTTAAACAGTAGAATAACAATCACTATTGTCTTCAGTCACATTGAAAGCTGTCACAAAGTACCCTTAACATTTGAAATCCTATGATCTAACAAGAAATTCTCCTGTGAAGCTGTTATATGTTTTCTTGTAAGCTAGTCAAGAGAATTTGGTATTTGATCAAGGTCACTACTGCAATCCCCAGCTCATGCGTTTGTCTACATTTTCCCACAATCCACTTCCTGGACAAAGTATTGAAATTGTGAGGAGTGAGTGCTGGTTTATTACCCCTGGAATAAAAAAATAGGGAACCCTTTGCCCAAGGGGATTACTTGAAAATGTTTGCTTCCCTTCAAATCAGGCTGAATTGAAGCAGAAAACCAGAACAACTTGGTGTCTGATACTGAGCAAAGAAAAAAATCTTACCCTGCTTGTTAACAACAATCCTTCCATCTTTGTCAGCATTTGTGAGTGCTTCCAAAAAGCTCTCAATGATTTGAAGAGGTGAATTACTGCTTTGATACAATCCATCTTCATCTCCTGCAGTAAATCCTATTAAATCATGATACAATTAAATTGTAGGGTAAATTTCCCTCAATAATGTATTCCCTTATTTAAGCACAACAAGTAAAAGAAATTTTAAAGCAGTAGTCAGGGCAATCCTTTCACCTGTTGAATTTTCAAAAATTCTTAAATGATTTCAGGCATTTCATTTCTTAGCAGTTACCATTTTAAAAGGAAAACACCTCAATCAAACTATGTATCAAACTATATTAGAGAAGAAACTATATGAAGAAGAAAGTGTTCAAAGTGAGAGTACTACACAAATCTTCTTTGTTTAGCAGAGGGGTCTAAACATTTATTAGCAACATGCTCAACAAAACTCCACAGATGAACTTGCAGAAAAACTGTTGTACTGTTCTTTCAGAGACAAACAAAATTTTACCCTTTTTCATATCATTATTCTCTCTATATTTATGCCACTCAAAGTATATTTTTTCATTCTACAACAGCATAATTGTGCGCTAACCTGTTCCCACTTGTACAGAATGATACTTGTCAACAAATCCATTCAGCTTAAAAAAACAAAGTTGAGTAAATTATATCCATGTCAAACCTTTATTAAGTCATTCTGGAAGGTCACATATAAGATTGTGAAATATCTAAAGAGGAATTATTTTAGAACTTACCTTTTTAGAAATCATGCTCTTCTCACAGTATCTTTTAATCTGAAAGGAGTATTAATTCAAGTATTGTGTTAGGCTAAGAATGAGATCATCCTGAACTGAATAAATACACCCTATAGCATACCAGTTTAAGGAAATGGATTGGACCTGTGCTCCAGAAGCCTGAGAAAAATATCACATGTACCAATCTCAAATGGAACTCTCGAGGTTCTAGAAGGAGCATGGGGCCAAAGCAGTCCAGGAGGCAAAGTGTGCAAGAGGAACTCGCAAAACAGAACATCACCTCAGGGGAGGCAAAGAGAGGTGCCACAAATAGAATCCAGAGGAGGTTCATAGTCGGTGCCATATGCTCACCAGCAAGGATGTAAATGGCCTAATCTAATAAACTAAGTAAGTAGCTATACTTTTAATTAGTTATGTGTACTGTACCTTAAAAAGGTTCACATTATCCATTTGGGCAGCAAAAAGGAAATCATTGATTGTTAATAGCTTCACATCTGTTAATTAGGACAAGCAGATAACAAAAATAAAGATTCATAATAATTTCATCACAACAAAATACTACAGGTAATGATTGTAATAATTATAATCATAACCTTGAAGAAAGGTCTTACATTCCATGTAAAATTAAATATCATGGTTCATCAAACCCATATTTGCAAGGATATTTTGAAAGGGAAAAAAAGAGAAAGAAAGAAAGCTATTGTACAAGATGAATAGATGGCTTAAGACAATGAGGGACATCCTTGGCCGATTGTAAGGAGAGGGTCCAATATAGAGACAGAACGATGTAGCCTACAGTTCATTTGTCTTTTTAGGGCAAGTTTATTGACAGTGCAAGCTCACAATCATTTATTTGACCCCCCAATTCCAATTTAAAGTTGTAGTGGACAGTCGGGGACCCACCCCCTCCTCTTGCCTTCCTTTTGACCCTCACTCACCCCCCTGGTACAAATTTATCTCTCATCTCAGCCTTCCTCTTCTGTAAAAATCAAAGATGCCAGTGATGGCAGCTATGATTTTCACCATGAAAATACTGAGCACTCTTTCCATAAAATTACACCTGCTCTGCAGGCTAAGACAGATTAGGCAATACTTCATGGCAACCCCTGGGGAGAGAACTCACAGGTGACAAGCTTCCTGTCTAAGGTGAAGAAAAATTGAAAAACATTCCTAAAACATAACAAACATCACTCTAAAATTAAGAACCTTGCTTTCTGTGGTCTTTTGTACCCAATTCATTAGCACTAGAGAATGATTCTGGTTTCCTTTGCTCTTTCCCTGCGAGAAATTTGAAAATTGTCAATGTTGAAGATACCTTGGCAAGCTCTCTTTTGGAGCCATAGTCTCTTCATCAGCCTATTAACAGATATCACATATGAAAGATATTATAATGATCACCAAGTCTAAAGAGAGGATGTCAAGTTTGAACATAGCATACGGATGTCATTTTTCCTGTCATGATGATTTCTAGTTCTCTTCTAATTCAAGTTGTCTGTATGAGGTATTTCCATAAATTACTCATTTCTCTCTAAAGATCTCATTGATAAAACTCTTTACTGTCTACCATACAATAAATGATGTTAGTTCAGAGAATTTGGTGTTGGTTTAAACTGAAAACCTGCCATGCTTTGAGTTCCACTTTAAAACTTACCTCCTAAACAGTTTAGGAAACACATCAAGACATACAGTAGTTGCTGAATATAGAACAAGTTCTTTGCCTTTAACCTTGACCTGGTTAAAAAATTTGAAATTAGAAGGGGATCTTTAGGGAAATGTTAAATTAACCAAAAGTACAAAAAATGTGCGGGAATTAACAGTTTAAAATATTTTTTCCCTGTCCATTCTTCTCCAGCTTATCTTTGATGTCAGTAAGAATTTCTAAGCTTGTTACCTAAATCAGTTTTCAAAATGTTTCACTGACCTATAGCGATCCTGGTACTGGGTCAACTGAGAGTGAGTGCACAAAATCTGTAACATGATACAAAACAATAAGGAGTGTATTGAATATGATTAGAGCTAATTCTTCTCTAAGATTGTTTTCTCTAACTCAGTAAGAGTACTGCTTATTGGTGAAATTTAGTTTAAAGTATAACAAACACATTGTCTTGTGTAGAATGTTTAATGAAATAATTCAATTTTTGTAAGAAATGCAACTGGTATTGATTTGCTTTTAATTCTTTAACTCCTGGGAGTGATGAACATGTTATTTCTCCCAATAATATTCATACATTATCTGACAAACAGGTAAGGAGAATAATCAAACTTATCTTGATCTAACACCAAATTCTTGCAACCAATTTACAAGGAAATGTCACAGTGTAGCAGCTAGAGGGGAGAATTAACAATCAGATCGTGGGAGTGAAAGGGTTAGGTCAGTTCATCATACCTGTGAACCAGTGATTTCTACACTGTGTACACTACTTATTGTGTCAATCAAATTATGCGCTTCATCGACAATAACCACATTTCCATCAAGCTTTATCCCACAGGCTTCCCGTGTAGACTTGTGAAGAAGGATGTTATATGGCAGAACTACGAGCTAGAGTAGGAGAGAAAATTAGGCAGAATTAATTATTTGTAGACAAGAATACATTAAATTAATATGAAAGCGATCTTCGCAGTAATGAACACTACTTAAGCAGTGGCGAAAATAAGGCCTGAAAAAAATTCAGGCCTGCACAGGATTTGAACCCATGACCTCAGCAATACTGGTGCAGTACTTTACTAACTGAGCTGATAAGCCAACTGGGGGCTGGTCATTATGTCAGTTTGAAATAAACCCTTGAAGTGATGATAGATGAGTTTAATTTTCTGGACCAATAACACAGAGATATACAGCAAAACTAAAGAAATCTTAGATCACTTTCTTAACTCTTACTATTACCTGCGCAGCAGGAATAGCTAATCTTGTCCCATAATAAGGACATGCATGAAGTTCTTCGCCGACAGAAACAAGCTGCTCAATATCTTTTATGTCCACCTAAGAAAGGAAGAAATTTTGTCCACAGTTTGAAACAGGTTCTTAAACCTATTCAAGATGATTTTTTTAAAGTAAAAAAGCTGCAATAGGAAAAAGCATTCTTGCAGGCCAATATTTCTGTTTACAGTGTAGTGTAGAGCCTCAGTGCTCATTCTTTCCCTCCATTCTACTTTATTAACCCTTTACACCCTAACATCAGTAACCATATTCTCTATAATCCTCCCTAGACAATTCCTTTGGCACTGAAAAGGAGAATTAGTTTAGCAATCAAAAGTTTTGTTAGGTTGGCAACCATTTCTGTTATTCTCATAAACTTCATGAATGATTCAGCAGTATTACTGTTGAGAGAAATTACATGCTGGTCACTCATAGGGATTATTAAAGGGTTAACTATTTGAAAGGTACATTGTACCATTAACAGCTGGAAAAACTAATTGAAAATTTTCTCCTAAGAGTTTTTTATTTGCAATTAAGCAAGGACCTAACCAGGAGATGGTCCCTAAATTTCTGCAGCTGTTGGTACATGTAGAATGGACATCCATTTGTAACTTTTTTCTTCTTTGAAGCTTTCTCTCCATCAGCTTTTTTCTTCTCTGTTAAAAAATAAATAAATTTTAAAAAAGTTCTCTCCAAGTTTTATTCCAAACGTACACCTTTTCTGCAAACATGACAAATAACTTCTTGCAGTAAGAAAATACAAGCAGACCAGTATAAATATTAGCACATGCAGTCTCCTGCTTTAGGTCAGGTTTCCCACAAAATGGGTTAGAATCCATATATAATCATTGATGAAGAGATACATTGTTAAAGCTTACTCCCAGGAGTGACCAACTAGGACAGAACTTTTCCTTACCAAATCAAACTTAGTTCAATATCAGACATACAGGTGACAAGAAAAAGAAAAGTATAAATCAATTAAGGGATGATTAGTTGATCCCATACCAAATCATAACTCAGAACTAACATCATAATAACTGCACAGCAGACAAATCTTGGGAGTGAAAGGAATCAAGTGTCTTGTCTTGGAACACAGTGCACTGATCCAGCCAAGTTGCAAGTATGCTCCTTTCAATCTGAAGTCCACTGCTACCACCTTTAGGCAAGCATTTCCCCTGCATGCTCATTTCATATTCTTAAATTAATCATTTTTAAAAAGATAATGCTGTGTAAAACATTCTCGACATAAAATTTGGAGATCGATTTTCAAACTATAACCAATGATCATGTTTAATTCCTTGCCAGGAAAGAGTATTTTTGAATAGAAAAAAAAACTTGTCACTTAAAATTTAGGTTGCAAACAGTGCTCTATTTCCCACCCCACCCCCCTCTACAGACTTACCTTTGTTTTTCTTTTGAAGTTCCAAACACCTATCATTAATTCTGTTTATATTTTTAAGGCTTTTAACATCCTCATTAATGCAGAGATTCTGTCGGGATCCAAGAGATACAACCCGTGTACTGTCACTGAATGGACTCTTTTGCACTTCCCTAACAAATTGTGTCAATTGGGAGTGTGTTCTACTGCAATAAAATATCTGAAAAAAAAAGTAAAACAATCTAAGAGAAATTTAGAGTTGTAATTATTAGTTGAAAATAGTTTTTAACACTTTGACCCTTACCAGTGAATAGCATCTTATTTCTTCATACAATATCACCCCTGAATCACCCAAAGAAGTCATTAAGGAAATCATCACTAACTAAAAAGAACCTGATTTTTTTAACAAATTCTCCTTCCTAGCACCTTAGGAAATATATAAAGAATAGTATGGAGAATATGCATACTGAAATTAGAGTGTAATCCATTCAGTCTGTTGATTATTCCTCATACAGTACCTTTAAACAGTGGGGCTCCTCCTCATTATCCTCATCTTCCTGATCTGATCTACAAAAATAAAAATGAAATCCCTTACGTGTCACTTTTCCTCAGGTGAGCAAACTCTTACTTTTGCCATCAACAGATAAGAAAATTTTAAGAATGATCTAATTGTGACTGTTTTACTATAATAGGCCATGTTACAGTTGTTTACTTTGTCGCCAAACCTATGATTTGGAGTGAAGCTGAATGTGACCTGGTTGTCATAGGGACCAGTATCTAGTTAACATGATAACAAAGTAATTTATATTTGAAAAGCAGCAAGGTTTGTATCATAACAAGGTCATCCTTAGCCACATTCCCGTTCAAAGGCATGCAACGTTAAAATGGACTATTCTAAAAACAAATTCTTTTGGCACAACGACTAAAGCACCTCTGGTGTCTATCTTACCCAGGCTCTTCTCCGTCACTTTGATATTCCATTAGTACAATATCTGTATCAGGATCCTCTTCTATGGTTTTCCCAAGGACTTCATCAATTTCACTGGTAATTTTGTTCTCTATTTCAGAGCCATCGTGTCCAAAATTATTGACCTCACCATCACTATGCTAAGAAATAAAATTAGACAACAAGCTCCAATCATTAAAATATCTGAGTCCAGTATGGAAAATTGAACTTCAAACTTTCAGAATTTGTTGTTGAATAACTCTTTCATGAACATTACCCTCTTCCAATCACACAGACCTTTCTCTTTCCAGTTTTGAATGCACATGCTGGTTTAAGTTCACTCTTGAGTTTCTGAAGCTGTGCTCTTTGTTTTTCCAACCTCTCTCTTTCCTCCTAAAAATTTGAGTAAAATAGCAGGAGTTAAGTTAACTTTGTGTAATACATTTATATATATGTTGTGGTTTAATTTTATCCTCGGTTCATATTTTATTTTCCTTTGTTTCAAACTCATTATCATACATTACAATACCCAAAAACAAAAGAAGATAAAATTTGAACCAAGGATAAAATTGAACCACAACATTACAACACACTTATTTATTTATTATAAGTTAAATAGATATTTAATGAATTCCATTCAAAAAAATCAAAAGTACCTTTACTCTGTCTTCTTTTTCTTGAGTAGCCTGCTTCTCCGCAAATTCCATCACCCAATCTGGCATTGTAGCTTTAGTACATTCAAATGAAAAAATAAATAGAAAATTATTTTTAATTTATCACATCCTTTGGGTAAAAATAATTCTGCATAGCAGTGGTATGTCTGGCTATCCAAAATATTTTTAATAGATAAAGTTAACTTACTATGTCTATTAAAACAGATTTCCAAACTCTTTTTTTTCTAGCAAGCACATTTTTTAATTAGGGCACATTTTTAGTAGTAAGTATCATGCCATTAAAACCAATAACAGTGATCAAAGTAGGTAATCAGAGCAAACTGAGGAAAATATCATATTAAGCAACCCATTAGAATTCAAAGAAAAAGCAAACAAACTGCTCTGAGCCTGGGATAAATGACTGACCAGTTCAAAATTGGTTTTAATTTTGATTGTGATAGTTTGGTTGGTCTATAAAGCTTGCAAGCTTTATAGATCAACCACATAGTGAAGAAGAGTAAATCAACACCCAATCAAGATTGCTTTTTGCACTTACAATCATCTGCACTATTAAATCTTTTTCCTTTGTCTTCATTAATGACATTGTCCCTGAAAAGTGGCAAATTTGTGAAAAAAAAGATGTAACTGACAGATTCTTCAGAAGATAAACCAAACAATTTTTGTTTTATAAAGATCATTACCTGAGAGTTGTAACTTGTTTTGAACATGATAAAGCCTTGTCTAGTTCTTCCTGTTTCTTCTCTTCATAACTTTTTAGCCAAGTAAGAGCTCCACAAATCAAGCTCAAAGATTTCCCCTATGAGTGTAGACAAAAATCAGATGGGAGATAAACAGAATAAAAAATACAGTAATTTTTTAGCTCAATTCAACCATTTACACTCTAACATCAGTATGTATATTCTCTATACTGCTCTCTATACATTTCCAGATGTACTGACAAGGAGAATTTGTTTAAAATCAATAGGTTCTTCAGTTAATTATTATTTCTGTTATTCTCATGATATTGATATTTGATTCATGGGTGATATTGAAAGGAGAAATTAGATGCTGGTCACTCTCAGGGATTAAAGGGTTAACCAGTAGATTCCATGTTAAGTAGATGGCTGACAGTAAGGAGAATTACTCATCAGATCTTGGGTGTAAGAGTTAGTCATAATCAAATAACACGCTCCCTTGAGCAACATATCATTTCAAAACCGGCTCTGATCTTAGCTCAAAGTATTTCATCTATTCCGATATCCATCTTTCACTCACCGTTCCTGTGGGACTTTCGAAAATTCCAACTCCTCCATTCTCAAGCACGTCATACAAAGTTTTCATAAAATCCTCCTGTATGTCATATGGCGGGAAAGGAAACGGGAAAAACACCGGCTTATCTGTAGCCGCAGATTCGCCGTGGGGCATCTGCGTTGATGCAACCTGATTAAAGTCACGAATACTGGGGCTTCTGCTTGCAAGGAACTCGTCGATGAGAAGATTTTCCATAGCTAGATCTGCTATTTTAGACTCTCAGTCTATCATGACATTGTGTTATGGTACCCAAACTTCGCGCGCTAATATTTTTTTGACAGCCTCGTTTTGATTTGAATTAAATATACTAGGGATGTGGGGGAGGGTACTATACGGCTTTCAACGGTTACTCCGTTATCTATACTCCCAAAAGATTCCATATTGCCGTGAGTCTTTTCAGTAAATAATAGACCAAAGGACCAAAATATCGTAAGAAAATCAGTGACACACTCGGCCGCGCTTCTTGTGCCACTTTTTCGGTCTTACCACATTTTGAATCTCGTCTGTGATCTAGTCATGATTTTACCCACACCTCCCCCTGTCTAGAACGATTTGTTCTTTTACTACTGGATCAAATTAGCGTCTTGGCAAATTACTTTCGAAACTGGGTCCCGTATGAGTTCATACCTTATTTTGGTATGTTCTTCGCCATAACTTTAGAAAATGAGATGACTCTGAGAAGCATGTGAGCTATAAAAACTATCTATCGGGTATTTTTTGGTCTATCAATTCATTTACTTCCGAAGGGCAACGATGTGTATCCGCTGTGGCCTTGGAGTACTTCCATTTCTTTTAGCTGTGCTCTCAGCTGTCACCTTCGTGATTACCTACATTATTTCCCGTGTACGCAACGACACTTCGTGGTTCCCAACTATCAGCGACACTGCGAGTCGCCGGCCAGAGAGCAACGTTTTCGGACTGCTGTTTAATTTTTGTTCTCTTCTTGCGCTCTTCACAACTTTTGTGCGGTATCTTCAGTTGAGACACGATGCTGATTGGAATGAGAGAGATAGGGCTCTTCTTATCAGGCTCAACAAATTGGCTGCGATGCTTGGTGTAGCTGCAAGTCTTGGTGGAAGCATAGTGGCCAATTTTCAGGTAATATTTAGCAAGATCAATGGATATGAGCATAATTTTAAAGCTGACGTTAGATGTAGGAAAATTATTTTTTAAAAAATCACAACGGTATATCTAACCAGACTTCTCGACCAAGGAATTGAAATTTAACGTCAAATATTAAACTGAAAGGCAGCATAGAAGTTAACATTCATGTGTCAGAACTATGCTTAGAGGCTTTTTCTTAAACAACCCAAGCTACATGCATATGTGTGCAATCGGTTATTATAAAGAACAGAGCGTACTAATTCCTGTGCGTGTTTCAGCAACTTATTGGCTAGCGTGTTTTCGCCTCTTTTAATTTTTTTTTATTTAACGATACACACAAAACGAAATTTGTAAAGAATACTGGTGTTACTTGCATTATTGATATATTTACAATACTAACATAACTCAACTTACTGATGTCACCTATAATGCTAACTAATTCACAATACAAACGTTTCCTATTGTTAATTTTTCGTTATATGTAGTATAATACACCGAATCGAAATTTAATTGCCATTGTTCTGGACTGACTAGCGTCTCACACATGTGATAATCCTTTTGTGTTTCAAGGTGATGAGGCTAGTTAGTCCAGAACAATGGCAATTTAAATTGGACACCATATTTTGATTTACTGTATAGAAACAATTATAGTCACTCATTTTAACAAAATTTTTTAATTCTACGTTTTTGAAAAATTCCAGGTATACATTCCCACACTAATACTTTTACACTTACGTAGAGTAAAATTAAAATCACCACCCTCATACTAAATGTACAAACCTTAACTTGGTACATCAGAAAAATATGAAATAATTCTGAATAATGAACACAAAATTAGCTTGAAGCAAGCTCACATTACTGTACTTAGGCTCTTCTCAAATATTACTAATTGTACCTTAAACTTACCTTGCACTTCATAAATAGCTTTTCATAGAATGAAATATTAATATTAGTATGATGTAATTAACTGTACAAATAATAGTATAGTTTCATCATCTTTTATTTGCCTTATTTACACAATACAAAAAAATTTATTTACAGTGATTATAGCTAGAAGGCAAGAAGACCCAGGAAGCCACTGGGCTTATGGGAGTGTAACAGTTTAACTCCCAAGATCTGGCCCAGGTTGTTCAAATCTGTGTACCCATGGAATTTGATTTCAGGTCTAAAAGCTTAAAAGAAAATTCAGTTAAAATCTTTTTGCCTGCAATTTGATCATTGGATGTCCTAAAAAGAATAGGGAAAATTTTCTCTAAAAGGCTTTGGAAAAAAGAAGTATAGAAACCTGCTTTAAAATTTAACCCTGGGCTTGCACTAATCAGCCTTTGAACAACTGGGTCCAGTTTGTTAATTCTCCCCTATAGCTGCTACTTATTTCCATGTAAATTAGTTATGAGAATTTGGTGTTTGATAAAGGTAACAATTTTCACCTGATAAAGTTGAGTATTCTCATTACCTGTTTGCTGGATAAAGTATGGATATTGTAGGGAGAAGTTCCCTGCCAATCACTTCTGGGAGTTAATTGGGTTAATTACATTCATACATAAACTTTCCAATAGCGCACTAAAACTATGCCAAAACAAGAAACTCCCAATATCAAAGTCACTTTAAAGAATAAAATGTTTTGTTTCTTTCCAAACAGGAAGATGCTGTCTCATTTATCCACACTATCGGTGCACTCCTTATTTTTGTGGGAGGTATTCTGTATTGCTGGGTTCAATCTTTTATTTCTTACAAGATGAGTGCTTGTGGTGTGATCACACACAGTCTTTTTATCTTACGAGTGGCCTTTGCTATTGCTGTTACAATCTTCTTTGCCATATGCGTAACAGCTACCTCGTATGCTGGTATAAAAGGAGTTCGTTACAACCTGGACCCCTACAAAAAGATGCCACGCTGGACTACAGCAGACAAAAACTACATTTATCATGTCATTGGAGATGTTTCTGAATGGCTCACGGCATTAATTCTTTTGGGCTACTTGTTCACATATTTTGGAGAGTTCAGGTTTGTAAAGATGAAGATTGTGGTGTCAAGACAAACACAACATCCTGTACCTCTAGCAACTGGAATGGGTTCGGATGATAGTCTCCATGCCTCACTATATGTTTAATGGAAGTTTCAAGTTACTAAGTGCTTGAAATGAAGAATTATGCTGGGGACAGACTTGATATGTTTGTGGATATATATACAAGTTACCAAATAGTACTGTATTTCTGATACAAATTAATTAAACTATATTAGTATTTCTAGCTTTTGTAAATTATGTATCACACATGTTTATCTACTGTGGAAAATTTGATTGATTTATCTGTTTTTCTAGGAAATATCCATACTCCTTGCATGGAAGGTTTCAGCACCCTTCCACCCTCCCCCCCCTCCAACATTCATTTAATGTTTACACCAATCCTCTGGCAAGGGGTAGGGGTAGGAGAGGAAATACTTCTTGGAATTGCAAAGTGCATGTTAAGTGTGTTAGTTTTTGAATTAGGTGATCAAACTTTGCAGTTTGATAGAAGAGGATAAATTTTTTTCTTCTAGTCTTCTATTTTTTTAGTTAATATCATGAAAAATGGTAGTGTTTGATTGCATTTGACTACAGATGAGAGAGAGATTTTCTCTTTTCAATGAGTTGAAATCCAGCAGCTGAGGATAAAAAATGGTTATGGTAAATAGTGAGTGCTAACTGCATAAATCTTCTGTAGTTTCATGACTATCAGATCAGGAAACCTATTATTATGATTTTAAGAGCAACAGCACTCAGTCTTGTCCTATGAAGTTTACATCACTGCAACTTTTCTTGTAAATCTAAGGAATTCAGGAATGAAAAATGTGAAATTTATACATCTCCCCAAACCTCAAGAGTAAACATAAAGTAACCTCTGTGTACAAATATGACTACACTGTCAAACAGAAAGTCATGGAAAGAAATAAGGGGATCTTACCTGATTTATGATACAAATCTCAGAACTTAAGTTTTATGAATTGTGTGGGAAGCAGTAAGGAGAATTTATATTAAAACCTTAAGGGTTTAGAATTTGAGGTAGACCCAGAGGTCTTTGAAGACCAGAACTTCACATTCCATTCAAGAGAACTTTGTTAAGACTCTCCTTGCTGTCAAACATCAGTGATTTTAAATAAACAAATGGTTTTCCAAACATTTTTTGAGGCAAATCCAGTCAGTTGTGTCGACAAAAAGTGTATTTATTAACTTGTATATAGCATTGTTACTGTAAGTAAATACTGAGAAGGTTAAATACGAGCTAAAGGTTTTGCCTTTAACAGTTGACTGTGAAGACCATTGAAAATGTAAATATTAGTGAAAAGAAACTGAACCAATGTATTCACCCTATCACGAAAGCTAAATGAATTGTTTGATACTGTTTCTGCACTCACGAATCTGTCTTCCTTGTTCACAACACATATTTTGAAAGTATCGACAAGAGAAACATTTAACATTTGTGCGAATTTTGATCAAAGAGCAACCAATTTTGATTTAAGAGCATCTAGGTTTTAAGTTTTAACGACCCATTTGCGGTTGTAACATCTGAGGGTAACATCTCTTGTTCGACCTGACTGCTCCAGAAGAAAAGGAATCCAATCATTTGCTTCGAATTGACTTTGCGTGAAGGGTCTTCCATATTATTATTCATTGCGTGACTATCTAACTATTATCAATGAACTGTTGAAACAGCCACTTCGTAAGGACTGATAACAACTTTTAAAAGACCTCTTAACAAGTTATTCCTCTGAGAAAATCTTTCAAGAAGACAATCTGTGACCATCAGTGTGATTCCTTTTCATATTTAACGTTCCTTTTCAAATGTTCAGCGATGCACTGCTAATAGGGAAGGGTTGGCAGAATAAAATTTTTGCCCCATACAATTATGTAACAGAAAGCCCTTAATGAATTTGAATTAAGAAATATTTCATTTCAGTTCTAATCCGTGATACATGGATCCTTCAGGGTATAAACAAGATTCTTTTCTAATTCCAAACTTCTGTGCTAGTTCGTTTACAATCTCATCCTCTCCACTGAGTTCCTCGGTCTCTTTCTTGACTTTGTTGTCTCCCAGATAGGTTGAAGTTATCAGTTTGTTCTGTGAAAGGGTTAACCTTCCCCAAGGTTTTGCCAAGGTGCATATGCGATCGTGGGTAAACGGAGACTTAGGGTCTGTTTGATGATAAATAAGCCTTTCATGGAAGTCTTCTATTTTCCTAGGAGTCAGGTCAAACCTGTACCTGATAGCCCATTCAGCTTCGATGATAAATTTCTCCTTTACTTTTTCTTCGTTACCAAACTCGTCAACGATGGTTTTCATTTTCTCTTCGTAGAAATATTGATCGCCGTCTTTCCTAATACGGTACGTCCCACTTTGTTGTTCCTGTTCATCTGCAGAGCAGTCGATGAGGAGAGGAGTTAGAAACGAATCTCCAAAACCGACATCACTCAACCACATTTCATCTCCAATGTTTATGACGTTTATCAAGTGATCAATCGATGATGCTATAAGCCCCGATTTGCGGCTGTAGACCGCAGCAGATTTCCTTCCGTAGCTGTACCCAAAATGATCAAGAAGTAACGAAAAACTCGAGTTAAGTTCATAGCAATACCCGCCGCGATGTCTTTGAACGACTTTGTCGAACAACCAATCTTTGGAGAGAACTATTTCCTCCTTTCCGAACACACTTAAGTTCTCAAAGGGAACTGATAAAATATGACATTTTTGCAGGTCCTTAAGAATGTCAAGAGTTGGTTCTATTGGGCCTGTAAAGTGAATACGAGCTAAATATTCCTCTACTTCGTTTGCGGTCAAAGCATGAAACTCATCCGCCATTGTTATATGAGCCAAGTGTTGTGTGATCGAAGTGCGTGACTTCTTGCGCTTGTCAAATTCACGCTCTCACTCGAACGGGATAGCCAGTCGCTCCGAACTGGCAGCAGGCACTTATTAACTTACACGGAAGTGGAAGAATATTTTGTTCTTTAACTTGTGCAGAAGCATCATAATTATAATTTTTTTTTTTTTCATTGCTGAGTTTTAGCTTTAGCGCCCCCGTTTTAATGTCCTTCTGAGAGCCTTTGAAATATGATTATTTTCATGTCTTTTAATGAATTTTAACTTCTTCGAAAAACGGAGACCGCGAAATATCTTTGATTAAGGTGTCTTGAAGATAAAATGGAGTTTCGGTTTGCACTCTGCAGTAAAATTAAAAACGCTTTACCGAAGCGCGTTCTCGAAGGAGTGTGTTGCGTGACAAGACTACAGTAACCGTGGCACCAACGCAGTTTATCTCCGCTTAAAATTGTTCAGACAACAGTGAAAACAGATCACAAAATACCAGTGTCTTGGTTTATTTCACATAAATTCGAAGGGTCTTTTTTACTCTCCATCGAATGGTACTTTTGTTGGAGACTTTGAAAGTAAATACCCTTTTTCTGTCACCAAATTTAATAAAACTCATGCCTATGTTTTCAGAAGCCCTCCCCTTCTCTTGGCTTCCAATTTGTTTAAGTCCCAGCTATTTTAAAGATTACAACTCAACAACACGTAGAGCCGAAGCAGTGAATTTAATTGAATAATCAGTAGATAAAAGGACGAGATAAATGATGGGCTCTCTTTTTTCGTCTTGGTTTATCAGAGCGTTGGAGCTCTTAGATGCTAAACTGGTATTGCTCAAGCGAATTTATCCACGGAACCATTAGATTGTGCTCGATAGAGTTCGATTCATTCGATCACCCAACTCTATGGATTGCGTTCGATTTCCGAACGTCCTCAGTTCAGTATGCTGGAAAAAAAAATATATATATATACATATATATGATAATGAATACGAGCTAAATATTCCTTAACCTCTTCAGGATCAAACTGTTCCTGTACCATATTTCCTTGACGCTGTCCGATGCCAATATATGAACGTCTATTAGTAGGTGAAGAGCGCAAGAAGTCACGAATCCCGGTCACGCGATAATGATATTGGTATTGATAACGATAGCGCACGAATTGAAGCGTTTTGACGCAAACGAAGTCGATGTATCGTATTAGAAAAGACGGCGACCGGTATTTCTACGAAGAGAAAATAAAAACTATGGTTGAAGAGTTTGGTAACGAAGAAAAAGCAAAGGTGAATGTTACCACCGACAACGAATGGTCTCCAAGGTGTAGGTTCGAACTCATTCCTAGAGAAACACATGACTTTCATGAAATGTTACTTTTCCACCAAACAGATCCAGAATCCCCGTTTACCCACGATCGCCTTTGTACTATGGCAAAACCCTGGGGAAGGATAACTCTTTCAGGGAACAAACTGACAAAGTCGACTTATCTGGGAGACAACAAGATCAGAAAGGAAACAAAGGAACTCGGTGGAGAGGAGAATGTAGTAAATGAACTTGAACAGCAGTTTGGAATAAGAAAGGAATCTTGTCTATACCCCGAAGGTTCCATGTACTGCGGATCAGATCAGAGCAAGAAAACATCGATTTAAAACATACTCTTTCCGTACGCTGTTCGTAGAAAGTCTCTTTCGTTTCTAAATTTAAATTACAATTTTCCTCTTTCTCTCCTCTCTTGTATCCTTTTAGTATTCACGCGCACCACACGTGATTTTACAAATTAGCTGATCACGTCAAAGAACTCAAACTTTGACAATAAAAACTGATGTGGACATTTTTCGCGTACATTTATTGTTTGTTTTCAGTTGTTTTGAGCTTTCATTCGCGCAAATTTGTTATCCCTTTGTTTGGAGTTTTAAGAAAATTCTTTAGTTCTCGTCACGCGAATTCTAATTAAACAAAATAAAACGAGGTGATTAAGATCTTTTGGAAAAAGTAAAATCATTTTGGCCATTACTTCATTCATTCTAAGACTCTTTAACTGCAATTCGTCGTTTTGCTATGCTTAAGGGACTGGTCATTATTCATTGTCAGAGAGGTGTGAGGTGGGATGGATGTGAGAGGTCAGTTGAGTTTGGTTGTATCACAATCATATTAACCTAATTCCCCCATGAGGCTCTGCAATATTGTAATGACTCCTCCCTCATTAGCGGTGAACGTAAACTGACAGTCAATTTTCTATATTCTCTTCTTTATACTCTTTTGGCGATGACTGATCCTACCTCCGTTCGAAAAATGTAATTTCTGACGTTTGAGTGACATGGGAACGAATTAGTCAGAAATTAAAATTTTGAGGGCACGTTGAAGAGGTTCGCATGGCAACACGGTGGTGTCGGATTATTTAAGCGTTTCGCGGGGAAAATTAAGTCATTATACGTCGGTCAGTCTTAGGTTTGACCGCTTTCTTTTTTTTTTTTTTTTTTTTTTTTTGTATTTAATGTAATTTTGTTTTACAACTCTCTGTAAAATATCACCGCATTCACTGAATTTTCTGTGTGATTGGTAGTGTAACTAGATTTATTTTAGCTACCCTTTCCTCGGGGTATAGTGCTGCTGTATTAGATGAGGAATACGTTTCCACATATTTTTTGGCCACTTCTAAAGAGTGGTTTTTCAGTGGTTTTTCGTATCTGGCGTAGCACAGCCTATTTTTGTATAACCCTTCAGTTTCAGTGAATACTTGCAGTACATTGCAGATTGTAGTAGGATGTGTAGACTACGAGACTGGCTGACTCATCCTAAATAACTTTCACTTTGAATATCTCGCCTGAGTGTAGTCAGAATCCATGAGATCTCCTTCAAAATTACTTCAACCTCCTCCCTCCCCCCCCCAGGAGGTCTGTTAACCTTTTCTCCCCACGATATCCCCCCTGAGTCACACATTAAGGTCACAAGAATAAAGGAAATGATCATCAACAAAAAAATCTTGTGATTGTTAAACAAGTTCTCCTTGTCAGAAACTTAGGCAACGTGTACAGAACAGTATGGAGAATATGCATACTGATGTTAGGGCGTACAGGGTCAATGATTGTTGCTGTAATTTTGCATGAATTTACTGAGAGTGTAACTAGCGGCTCATGTTATGTTCCACTTGACCTATGCCATATAAGCCACTAGTTTTGATACCTCTCAATGTAAAATCAAAAGAACATTGTACATGCTTATCAAGTGATATTAAAAAACAATCGAGAAAACTTTCTATTCATTTTTAATTATAGGAAACTTCCTTTCCTCACGCTGCCTTCCTATCATCTGTTTGTTATTGTGAACTGCAGACTCAATCAGTCTCCATTAAATTTTGTGATAACCTTTGGTCAACTCAGTTTTTTTTCTGAGTTTGTTGTTGTTGTTGTTGTTTTTGAAAGCTGTATGTTTGTTTGACATAAATTTAAATGACTGAAGGGGAAGGCTTCTGAAACAAGCGGATTACCTCCTGAATTTTTTACAACAAAGACCTATCAGCTTCAAGATCGCCTGAGACATTTTGACAACTTTCGATAACAAACAAGAAGCTACAACTCAGAGTCTAAAGAAAAATTGGTATTTTGGCAAAAGTTGAAGGGCTAAAAATTATTTCACTTGAGTAAGAGAGAACTGTCTGCTGCCAGATTCAAGTGACCGGACGCTTCGCTTGAGTGAAAGGATTCCATAATACCTATGTGAAAGAGATTCTCCAATCTAAAATTTTGGTGATGTAGTTCATAGAAGAGATTTCCACTTCTTCTGGGATTTTTATTCAGCCATTTACCTTGAGGTCAAACAAACAATCAAACTGAGTATAAAAAAATCACAGAAAATAGTTAGAATGGACAAATGTTTATTTCAGAAACTGGTAAGGACCGATTGAGTAAGCAGTTTACAATTAAAATGTGTTTTACTCGGCTTCAGTGTGCGACTACAAAACTTGCAGGATAAGGTTACCTTCTCACAGTTCTTAGAGTAAACATCGAGGACGAACTCTGGTTAGCCGATGTTAGGTTTGGGGGCACGAATGTTAGCATTCTACAGATAAGCGGCTTGGAAGATAATCAGGTGCACCAAAATAGAACTGGTCGAATACGCGGAATTGGAGACCAGTACATCTTTGAACAAATGGTTAAAACCATTGTCACGGAGGACTCGACATCACAAGCCATCATTGACGGATTCGGCACTGAAATACGCCCGAGAGCAGAGTTCACCAGTGTCTATAGCCCCGAATGAATGCCCCCATGCCATTGAAGATTTTCACGAATTTCTGCTCTTCCATCAGATAGATCTGGGTTCAATTTTTACTCATGATCGCCTTTATACCATGCCAAAGTCTTGGGGGGAAAGTAACTCTTTCAGGAAGCACTCTGGTACGGTGACATCGACTTTCTTAGAGGACAACGCTGTCAAGAAAACCCGAAAACTTCTGCATGGAGAGGAGGAAATAGTTAAAGAACTGGAAAGTACATTTGGTAGTAAAAAAGAATCATAAGTGTATCCTAAAGGATCTGTGTTCTATGGATCGAACGAGAAAACAGTGAATTAACTTTGTTGGGTAAACAGTTTAACGTCTGCTGTTTTTATAGGCTATGAGATTACATTTTTCCACAAACACAGAGAACCCATCATTGTCTCGTCCTTTTTGTTTGTACTGATTATTCAAAAATATTGGCTGCTTCAAATATATTCTCTCCGCGTGTTATAAACTTAAGTATAACTGGGACGTCGATATCATACACCTGCTATTCCCTAGCGACGTTACGATCGGTTACGACGGGTACTAAATAAAGATATATATATATATGATTGTATTTGAATTTTTGATTACATGGGCTATGGGCTTGTAGACTCATTGTTTTATGCTTCAGAGAACTTACACAAGTCAACCATACTACGAGCAATCCTTGCTTTTTGGCGAAGTCCGTCGCGCGAGTCAAGGAAAAATCAGCGGAAAAGAAGTTCATGTTAGCACACCGCACTGAACTCTTGGAGTGAGGCACCTTCTCTTCGTGTGCATCGTTCCCCGGCCCCGAATTCTGTGGTGTCCTAAAATCATTTCTTTTTTTATTCGCTGGTTAACATTGCGGCTTGAATTTGTTGCAAGTGGCATAGAGCAGTTTTGAAAATCTTTTATTATCAGCGATAGATTTCTCTTGACTAGTCGCATGAATTGAATTCGGTTCGTATGTTTGCAGTGAGAAGTCTCGGAAACCCTTCGCAGTGACTAGGGGTCCGCCTCTTCCTTATACCTAGTTGCCTGTACTCTCCCTTGGGGATTTTTTGTGTTTTGAAACATGATTTTAGAAAGCGGTGGGCGAACGAAGTGATAGGAATTGGGGAAGAAGACCTGGTCTGTTCCGACTCACACCATATATGTGAAGTTATCGAATGGGCCTCAAACGACGGTAAGACTAGGAAAGGAACTGTAAAGTAAGTAAGTAAAGATTATGTTTTAAACAGGGGTACATTTGAGAGAAGTAAAAACTCTGATGAACTCTTGGCCCTCATTATACTGAGAAAATACTTAAAAAAAACGGCATGATAAAAATACACCACAAGGCTTAAAGATAAATATCCTATCAACGATGAAAAATAAAAAAACTTATCCTGCATTAAAAAGACAATTCCAATTCATATTTGAAGTCGTTAGTAAGCTTTCTGGTTAAATAAAAATTCATCGTATAGACTGAGCTTGAAACTTGCAACTGATGCTTTCTGACATATACTTGGCTCTATGGTGTTCCATTCCGATATTGTCCTAACTGTAAAGTTCGTCAAGTCAGTTTAACTATTAAGATTCCACGTTGTACGTTGCCGTGGGTCTGTGTTAGGAAGTAAAAGATCACAGTTGACGTCAACGCAATCAATGAGTGTGCGTAATTTAGCTTGTTTTGTAAAAATGCAGAGTTCACTTTGTTCGAAATTTCAATTCCAAAGTTGTAAAGTGGCCAAATTCAAAAGGACTAAAAGACACCGACATCTCTGAGCCATCGATTAAAACAAACACAAGATAGAATCCACAAACCTTTTAGCCCGAAAAATTAACCGAATGGACGCAAATCGAGAAGCATTTACCTTTTTCGGGTTATTACTATGATCTTTTTTTTTTGGTTGTTGTTATCTCTTGCCATTAACTGAGAGGAACTCTGATGTTTTCAAGGATAAAATTTCTCCCGCGAAATCGAGCCTAAACCAAAATTTACTCATTGAAGAGACCAAAAGACGTCATCACTAAATATATTGAAATGACTCAAAGGGAAACAACGTCCGAAATTAACAATTACAGGTTCTTTCGCTCATTTTTACATCTTATTTTTAGGAGTATTATCCTTCTAAAAAAACACTAAGAGTAGTCAGTTTCAATATGGGATTATTTGTCACGATTGAAAATAAACTACAAGCAAAAATAATGGATTTACTATAAACCTATGGGCTCTCTCAAGTAAGCGCAAAATGGAAAAAAAAAGTATCATTACACTTAGTAGGTTTTTGATTGTTCTGGAGCGTAAATTCGTGCAGGAGAAATAATCAGTTCGATTTTTTTATCGTAGAATCTTGCGTGAAAATTTTATCCCTACATCTGATAGATAATGATTATTCATTTATCGGGCCATCTGTGGAGAGACACCAAACAAAACCTGCTCAGTATTAACCACTTTATTTTAAGGTCACCACTCACGCAA